TTATTAATGCTTCTTTTCTTTTTTAAATAATTTTAATAGATCTTTCCTAAGAGTAGTTTTTGAAGTGAACTGTGCATTATGATTATGTACAACCTTAATATATTTTTGCCAATTAGGATGCTCTACAAAACTAAGTGGTTGATCTAAAGCAGCTATCATTCGTGCAACTTCCATACGATCTACTTGCGGATCGTATTTCCAAGTGGTTAAACCACCGGTTGCGCGATCAAAAGATAATTGTGTTTGGCGGAGTTCGGACCTGCCAGATTGGCTAAGCTTTTGAAGACACTTTTCGGAGTGTCTTCTCAAGTGTGGGGTGCCGTAAATAGTGTCACCTTGTAATTTAGATAAACAATATTTACACTAAGCTATATGTTTAGTGTTACCTTCATTGTCGATCTCCTCAATTATGTCGAAGTGATCCCAAACTGTCGAGGTGCGCTTACATTTTCTCCTAGAGGTTGCAACACTTGCAGATGCAGTTGCACTGGCACTCGCCATCGCCGCTTCTTCACGTCCACTACCATTGTGACAACGACCTCCAGTACGTCCAGCAGGGCTCGGATTAGTAGATTCCTGCGTAACAAATTCATTAGTGAGAAATTGTCATTCTTCCACGTTGTGTTGGGCATCAACGGGAATACCATATAACCAAAAGGATACATTATAAAAAAATAAGAGCGATTTGAGAGAGAGAGAGAGCTTTAGGATAATGTGATAGTTTTTAGAAAAATTATGAGAGAGATTTGAGAGCTTGAGAGAGACTGAGAGAAATTGAGAGAGATTGAGAGAAATTGAGAGGGATTGAGAAAGTTTGAGTGAGAAATATGTGTGGGGGATGAGAGGTATTTATAGGAAATTTTTTAGGTTAAAAAATTGATTTTTTTTTCAAAAAATTCAGGGTGCAACGGCTACTTTAGGTTCGGCGAGTCGGGTTTGGGCGGGTTCGGGCAAAATTCAGGTCGGGCACCAACGGTCTAAATTTTGACCCATTTTCGGGCATTCGGACAAATCAGGCTTGGCCGGAAAAATTCAAAAAAAAACTCCGACGGACGGCGATTGACGGCGCCTACACGGCAGCGGGCTCCGGTGAGGTGCCAAAATTCAGGCTGCCCGAGCCTGATCTTGAATTTCCTTTTTAGACAGGCCGACATATGGGCCTGCCTACTAAGCCCGAAAAATTCAGGCAGCGGCCTGCCCGCCGGCCCAAAGTTCCACCACTATATATGATGATAAAAAATAGAATCATACTAGTATATAAGCACAGATGTAGTTTATGCCTCATGGGGACACGTGCCCCACTGAAGAGAAGCCAAAGTACTATTTTTGCTCAAAACGTCATTTATGTACATCAATTTTAAGATTATGCCCCCACTGATCTAATAATATTTTCTCTTGGGCTTTTTCCAAGGGCTGCATTTTAGGCTTTGACTCTTTTGTTCCCAAAGTGAGATCCTAGTGTATTTTATCATTCTCTAGTTTTCCATTTTTTAGTTGAAATAAAACGGGAAATTAGGCCAGGTGGCCGTTGAACCAGCCAGCTTCAAAAATCTGTTCACCGTTTTTTTTTTTTTTTTTTTAATTTAGATAGATGGCCGGTTCCTTTTAATGATTATTATTATTATTTTTTTATTTTATTTTTTTCCATTTTTATCCGCTCAATTCCTCTTCATAGTTCACGTTAGCCTATGCTATCAGACCTTCACAGAGGCTTCACTTCTTCTACACAGAAGCTTCACCCAAATTCCAATTTAATCTCCAGCTTGTTTCATATGTATGGTAATAAATCAATTCTAATACACAAATAAGCAGTCAATTAGTTTTATTCAATCAGTTTAGTATTCACTGCAACAAGCCCAAAGAATTTAAGGACAACAAAAACTTGATTAACCATAAAACGCAACGGCACCCGACAATGGCCGGCGGCGGCTTCGTGCTGTGGAGGAGACAAGATCGTCATGCATGGATTCTTCGTCGAGCGACGGCCAAAGTCCAAAGAGAAAACAGGGGAGAAGTGGAGAGGCGGAGGAAGAGAGTAAAGGGAGAGAGAAATTTTAGGGTGTTTTTGTCTTTCTAAATGCACTAACAACCCATTTAGCTAATTTCATAAAACAACTGCCATTTTACTTAAACCATGCCTTAGAACCGGCTATTCTTGCACATATCCCACAATACAACTGTTTTTGTCCAGAAATTTTTATTATATGTTTTAGTTAATAATTTTATTTATTTATGCCTCACTGAATTTAAATCTCGACTCCGTCACTGTTAGTATAAGTTACTTTTGAGCATTGTCCGTATACCAACATGTTTCGAATAAAATTATGGTAAAGTAAGGGAAAAAAAGAGGAACACTAAACGTAATGAATATCTGTAAGCAGGAATCTCAATTTGCTTCAGTTTGCTTTAATTAGTTTTAATCCCATAGCTAGCCAATAATTAAAGCCATAAATACAATAAGTTTACAACCGAAACAAGAAAAAGTGCAACAAAGTTATCAATATCACAAACCTAAGGTCGTTTGTTACACCAATTATACTAAAATACTAAATTAAACACGAACTGACTGTGGCTCATTAGTGGGACATACTAGCTGATCTAAGCCTCAACACTTTGTGATCAGTTTCCCCTAAGTATCATTGCTGGGACATACTAGCTTAATTACTCCAGATAATTCTTTCATGATAATTGGATTAGAGAGAAGAATTATTTGCTCCAAAGTAATTATCAGGTGGAAGATTGTGATCGGCTTTCTCAACACCGTCGATGTTCCGGAGCCAGTAAGTCCGATCGAAAGAGGCAGCATTCTTGGGGACATCATCAACCACATATTCATGGCCTTTCGGAACATATATTCCTGTACGCGGATGCGGAGTCCAATACGACGCCGAACTTTCCGTCAGGTCACGACGGCCTTCGCTTGAAATTCTGGCTTGTTCCGTCGGATCTAGCTCTACTACTCCGACCCGGTCGGGCTTGCTCAGATGTCGCTCGACTCGCTTCGCTTCCCTACGTGAACTGCGTAACCCTTGCTAGGATTAATAATAATATTCGTCGATAAATCAATCCATATTTCCACGTAAACTACTTAACTAATCTTTTAATTAGTAGATGCTGAGCCAGCCACTTACCTAATTTCACTATCGATCTTGCTAGCTATTATAATTTTGGTCATGTGTAACAAGCATTAATTAGTGGACGTAAGTAGTAGTCTTTAAGAACTGTATGGTCATAAAGTCGTTATTTCAGTTGATAAAATAAGTTTAGTATGTGTCATACATCTATAGTAACTATTTGATATTGTATGCGTATTATGACCACCCAGACGCAAGTTGGGCGTGCAATGATTTATTGTTCTAGGGGATCCTCAACTATCATATCGGTAGTGGATATTTAAAAATAAAATAAAAAATGCAGAACAAACGTCTTTTTGAAGCAAATCTAAGAGCTTTTATAATTCATTTTCCAAGTTTTACGGCAAAAATCTCCTTTTTCTAGACAGATAAAAGATAAATAATACTAAAGCTACGATCATACATACTAGCGAGTGATTTAGAAGGGAACTCTAGGACATTACCTAAGCAAAAACATCCTTGTTTTGGCGATTCCTCCTCTAACCATATTGCCTCTCAGTAGGTGCCAAATGATACGAGTTATAAACGAAGTTTAAAGGGCAAAAGGGAAAAACAAAAGTATAGATGAATTTGGTGCAATGTATGAAAGCGATGAGAAGGACATGGAAGATGGTTAGGAGTATATATAATCAAATATCAAAAATATAATCCAATTAATTGCAGTCAATATCTTTGTAAATTTCATGGGAATAAGTTCCTTTTTATGAACGACTGGTGTTGGTTCATAAAGGAAAAGCGCACAAATATATTCATTATATTTCAATAATAGGGCAAAGAAAGTGAAAGCTCAAAAATTAAAGCTCAGTCCTTTTATGTATTTGTTTTTTTTTTGTATTTTGGAGATAAGACGAGTTAGGATTTCTATTTTCCAAAACATGAGTGGCTCTAAAGTCTGATTAAACGCCATGATTTGGATGCTCACTATAAAAGGATTAAAGAAAGGTTTAAGATAATGTTTTTTGTCGTTGTTTGTTGCTCCTAGTTGAAGTACTTTATTATTGTTCTTATGTGACACGTTGCTGAGTGGTGCCACGTTTCTCGAATTTCCCTTTTGCCTTCAATGGCTGGGATTTTCTTTCGATTTCATTTTTTTTCCCCCATAATTTTCACGTGTAGGCATTAATGGAAAAGTACTCTCCCAAGGGCCTAAATGCTAAAGCTGTACTTTTATATATAAACCATAACCTGATTATGATCCAACTTACTCAGTGGTAACGTAAGTATACGACTCTAATTAATTTGAACAATGTTGTATACCTCGTGATGTTACATCTCCATTCTCTCATAAAAGGTGACTTATATCTATAGTATTTAAATACAACTCACAAGTGAGATCCATTTATTATGAGAAGATAAAAATTTAATTCTATAAAAACAAATATAATTGCCCAATGTTTTTTTTTTTTTTTTGGTGCGCGTGTTTTTTTCTAAAAGTTGAGGTATGACAATACATTTGAAGCTCCCTTAAAAAAATAAAACATTTTAAGCACACTTATTACTCCATACAAAAACGAAAATAAAAAGAGTTCTTTTTCCGTTTTTATCGTGTGTTTACTTATAATATCACAAATGATAATTTAGTTATCCAACATAATATATGAAATAAGGAAAATAGATGTCAATCTTTGCACCTCTCTTGATATTGATTTGTTGTTAAAATGAATAAATTTCAAATTTACTTATATGCCTTTAATTGATCCATATTATTGTATAAAATGACATTAAGAAATTACATCATATTACTACTCTAAAATTTAGTAAACACAAATAAAGAGAAAGTTGAATTGTTTTTCAATTAATCATGTAATGGACCAATAAACACTAGGGAGGAAATCAATGATCCTTTTACTTTCCAATTTTATTACCCTTTTCATTACATTAATTACACTAATTATTTATTGTTTGATAAACGTACCATTATCCTGTCTATCAATGATTTTTTTTTAAAAATGAAATGGGGAATTCGAACTTTAAGCTATGCTCTTTGCAGGAGGTGAAACGAACCATTTCAAAATTCGACAGACATGTTAAATTAAGATAAAATATAATTTATAAAGTATTCGTGAAATTAGTCCTTAATTAAATTGGTGGAGTTAACACTTTGTTTTTTTCTCTCTAGTTTCTACTCTATATCACCGAACAATGGTGCGAAACTATCTCCACCCATTAGTTTTTTCCACCTCGCTCCATCTCTTATTTCCATAAAATCGTAAGACTTAATAAAGGTTAATGTTATATGGATAGTCACCTTACTCGACAACAATGGAGTTGGCCTTAATTAGTCTTTATGGCTAGTTTTATGTGTTAATTTCTTGAAAATAAGAATTAATATATATCTAATAGGCAGTGCGTGGACCTAACTAATTAACTTTTCTCCGTTTCTTATTCATTGTCAAGGTTTGTTATTGGCTTAGATGAGCCTATCATGAACAGATTGATGACTATAAATTAAGTGATGATTTGCCACCTTATTTGCATGGCATTATCTCTCTCTTCTTTTTTTTTTTTAAATGAAAATATGGTATTATCTTCGAGTCAGGTTATAATTCAAGTTCTATTATTACAGCGTTATTTTTACAAAAATTTAAATTTAATTTTTTTTATTATAATATTCTTCTCTTACATACATAACTCAAGTTCTTAACTTGAGTTGTGAAGCAAACATAACTTTAAATTTCTCCCGAAACAAAAAAAGGAACAAATTACAAAATTACCCTTTAAATTTTAGGCCGTATCACAAAATACCTCTTAAACTTCAATTTATAACCTCCCCGAGCTTGAGAATTCTAGTAACTTTATCCCTGGGATTAAATTTTAGAACTTCCTAACACTTTCATTATTGCTTATTTGAATATCCTTCTAATTTTATATTGCTTTGGTTTTTTCTCCTCTTTGAAACGATGATTACTGGTTTCTCGACTTTTCGGCTGCATGTTGGAAAAAACCATAACCCAAGACCTTATTTGTACTCAATAATTCAAACAATGTGCAGAAATGGCCTGAAAAGGTGGACAAAAAATTGTGATGCATCAAAAAGCACTTTCTTTTTATTTTATTTTTTTTTATTAGAGTGCCTGTAGGGCTTATAATTTTAAACAGAATCGTGTATAACTGACTCTGACTAAATTAAAATTAAAAGTAAAATTTATATAATTGACTCTGATTAAATTAAAATTAAGGAGACGTTTAGTTTATGAATTAAAATTATGTAATTAAAATTATTTTTTATTTATGTATATTTTTTATGAGAAAAAATACTATAACAAACTATTAACTATGATTCAAATTATAATTTAAATCATCAAATTAAACATCTTTTAAAATGTGTTGCTATTGTTGCTATTGTTGTAGAGTACCCGCAGGACTTGTTTGAATGACAAAATCGTACGGTCAGCACGTGATGTTCGTAGGCGTACGTCCAATTATGTTGAATGACAAAAGTATGAATGAGGTGGCACTTGGAGTAATACGTCTTTGTTCCTCCAAAGGCTAATTTCACTTTTTTTTCTGCAAATGCCCTCTATCATTTTGTTCTTCTCTCTCCCCCATCTATTCTCTTTTTGTGCAGATGAGATTTTTGAGCTAATAAAAACATAGGGATTTAAAAACCGTACATTGGAGCTATAACCCAGAAATTAAAATAATCATCCATAAATATTTTTTTTCCTGCTTGAATCTTAAGGTAGCTTTTAATGTTTTGCTTTGTCCAGAGATCTGAAAAACATAAAAGTAGGCATTGTCAATGACTCGTGCCTCAAGTTCTTCGTCGGACGGAGACCCCTCTACTTTTGTGCTATGCTTGTTTTTTAGTTTTCTCTTTTTGTTTTGTTTTTGGCTATGAAGGTCTTTGTTTTCTGGTGTTTTCGTCCAACAAAATCTTATTCATACGAAAGCAGGAAAAAAAATCTTGTTTTTTTTCCTTTTATTTATACTTTCTATGTCTATAACTTTTTAATTAGCTACTCCTCCTAAATTAAACAACTGTGAAAGAAAAAAATGAAACATGAAGCTATATTTGTTTTTTTAACTTTTGGAGATGGAGAATCAGAGAAAAAATTGAGAGATGAGAAAAGTAGAGGTGTCAGAGTTTGAGGAAAGAAAAGAAAAAAAAAAAAAGATATAGGTGTAGAGACTCAGAGGCTAATGATAAAAGAGAGAGATTAGTGGCATTAGCGGGGCCCACAAATTAAATATATTCAGGGTCTGTTAATAGTTATTTAATTTGAGTTTTTAATTTGAATTAAAATTTTTTTTATTATAAGAAAAAAATTATGTTATTGTTTTGAGAGTTTTTTACTATAGTAAAATTTAAATTTTAAAATTGAATTGGTGAAATAAATGAGATCTTAAAATTTTAAAAGATTTAGTTTCGTTTACTTTATAAATTTAAATTTTAAATTTAAATTGAGATATAGTATTTTTAAAAAAATTTTAATTATAATAAAAAAAATTAAATGTTATATTTTAAAAAAAATTTTAACTATAAAAATTTAAAATAAAAAATTTAAATGGATAAAATATTGGAGACGTTTGGTTAAAAAAATTTTAATTATAATAAAAAAAATTAAATGTTATATTTTAAAAAAAATTTTAACTATAAAAATTTAAAATAAAAAATTTAAATGGATAAAATATTGGAGACGTTTGATTCATGGATTAGAATTATGAGATTAGAACTATTTTTTATTTACGTATATTTTTTATGAAAAAAAATACTATAATAAATCATAAACTATGATTCAAATCAAGTACGAATCTCCTAACTAAACAACCTCGAACCTTTAACTGTATTGATACGTGGACTCGGATTATAACGCTCAATCCCCTTCAGCCGCTTGCACGATTACACGCTGGACCAAGGTTAAATACCCATTTACGATTCACTCAGCATCATTTTTAACACACCATGTCCGTACTCAAAAAAGGACCGCAGCACCAGAGGAGAAAGAACCCTTTTTATTATTATTTTTTTCTGAAATACTTTTACTTTATTCCTATCATGACATGGTTGAAATGTCTCGACACGCTTTAGAATTCCCTTTCCCCCCTTTTCTTTCTTGGTGAGATGCTTTTTCCCCTTTATTTGAAGATACAAATTCATTTCTCAATTCTCAAATAAAAAAGAAAAATCACATTCTGTTTTGAGTTTTTAATCTTAATTTTAATTTTATTATAATTAAAATTTTTTATAAAAAATTATTTATTTTTTTTATTATAATTAAAAATTCTCACATAACTAAATGAGGCCTTAGTATTTATGTTTTTTTTTTCAAATTAATAAATTAATATACTAATTTCTTTTCAAACAAAATCTGAATTAATTTCTTTAATGCATAAATTCTTAAATAAAAATACAATAGGATTTTTTTGACAGATTATATGGTTTTTTATTACCAAAACAATAACCTCACCGTACTCAGAAAATTTTATTTGAAGTACGAGACAGTGAATTAAATATTATCTAAACACGAAATACTAATTCATCGATAAAACACATGGTACATGACGTAATTTTGATGGAGTGGTTAGGTCACTTTCTTTTTTAAATAAGGTCTTTGATTTAAGTCAATCTCATCATGGTGAGTTGAGTATATGAGCAATACAATTCGTGAAATACTCACATATTATGCAAAAATATATTTGTTTCCTAAAATTATGTGGATATGCCAACATCGATCTATCTTATAACCTCTTTTTAAATGATATATTTCATTCATGTATATTTCCCACATAAGAGTGTGACACGTGACCATTAATATTATAGATCGAGATAATCACATAAGTCAGTCGATGATTAAAACCGATATACAAAACTTATAGAGATTAAGGTTGGGGAACATACTTTTGATGTCCATATCACACTAAAGGAGTTTGACTGCCAATAGATTGAGATTGAAATACAAAGCATGCCGTCACGATAATGTCAATCAAGACGTCGTGACAATCAGTTTTAAATACGGCTCATTTAAATAAGAAACATGACATTATATTAGAAAATATCTCTAATTATTTCCTGACAGAAAAATTCATTAATACTTTCCAAAATACTAATTCAGTAGTGACTGTATCAATCCAAGTGGATCCAAGAGATTCTTCCAATTGATCACCTCATCTATAAATTGAAATACTTAATTTTACATTTTCTATCCTTTACTCTCTTGCTAATATTCTTCACTCTCAACACTTCTGCTTTACTTGAGCATCGAGTTGCTTCTGCAGACAAACTCCAACATCCTCAGTGCATGTTGACAATGAGGAGCGGTTGCGAACTTGCAAGCATAATGAACATCGAGTTATACACTTGACATTTTATTGTACTCTAAATTCCTAAAAACGTGTTATAATAAATTACAAACAAATGGTTCCGTATAATGAAAACATGAAAATAATATCCATCTATATCTATCTATCTATCTCTATATTTAAAAATAATAATAATAATAACAATAATAATCGTGGGAGTTGGCGAATGGAAAGTACGAGGTGGGAGAGTGGGACCTGACGCAAAACTCCCGCCATTAGCGCGTTCGGTCTTCTCCTTAATTGTCAAAAAATGGACTTAACTCGGACGCACAAACACAGAGAAAGAGAGAAATTAAGAAAAAGAAAACCACGAACAGGGCTCTGACAAAATTGCCAAATTAATAGAACCACAATTACAAAGAAACATCTATCTATATATCTATATCTATATATATAAATAATAATAATATAAAAAGGAAGATATATAAACATAAGGGGAAAAAAAAACCAACAGAGGCAATACCCGATCAAAATACTCGTACTAATATACCTCCATCGAAGAAGAAGAAGGAAGAGGAGATCCATAATAGATGAAAGGCAGAGCGAAGTTCCCCAGAACCAAGTTTGGGCCACCCACTGCTTTCCTCCTCTGCTTCCTTTCCTTCCTCGCTGGATTCTTTTTCTCTAATCTCCTCTCCCAGGTCTCTTATGAATTTATGGTTATACACCTATACGTATAGTTTTTGTATTTGTATATGTGTCCCAGAAATTTTCAAATTCGGATCGATCGCAGGATGTCCCGGGAGTACGGCCCGGCTCGAGAGTTCTTGAATCGGTCGGAAACGACGGCGGCGGTGATTTGATGCCGTTCGGAGAGACTGGAGATAGTTCTTTTCAAGTGATTCCGTTTCAGGTACTGCCTTTGTGTTGGGAAATCTAAATAGTGATTTTGGATCGCGGATTTTGCTAAAACTTGGTTGGATTATTATTATTATTATTATTATTATTATTATTATTATTTAAAAAAGAATGGTTAAATTCAATAGGGAATTTTATTTTTTAATGTGATTTGGTTTCAGATGCCGTTTGGATTCTTCTGTAAAACTTAATTTTGAGACCCTTTTTGCTTGAAGTTGAACTCTTTTATTTATATTCACTCAACAGGTGGTCCACAGTACATGACATCACTTTTGTGAAGAGCCCGTTAAGTTCGCTGATTCGAGTTTTTAATTCTAGTTGAGATGTAACTTGGCATTTTGTTGATTTCCTATCGAATCTCTGATATTTTGACCTGCTTATATTGTATATTGTTTTTCTCTTAAGCCACTCATGGTTTGAGGTACTTATATTCTTCTGTACGTTAATCGATCAGCCTTTGATGTTAAGGGCAAGGGTGAATTAGACTCATATTTGATATATCTGGCAATGTTTATGGTGCAAAGTCTTGAACTATTAAGAAACCACATGTCTATAAAGTTGTGTAGACGGAGCAAAAATTTTGGATGAATCCGTAGTAACACAAGGAAAAATGATGTAAAGAAAATGAGATCTGTTGGCAGAAGAGGCCTTTTTTTTTTTCTTCGTGCTTGCAGAGGAGGGTCAATTTTTATTTTGGGAGAAAGATTTAAGATGGTTGGGTTATGTTGCATGCAGTGATGAAAATGTATGTACATGCAAAGGCTCGGATGATTTAAGTAAAAAGAGTTAAGACATTATGGTTTGGTCAAGAATGATATGGGTTTAAGTGAGCAGAAATGCAAATTTTTCAGAGATGTAGTGTAAAATATTTTTATGGTAAGGTTTCAATGGTGAGAAAGCATTCATTTAAAGGTACTGACTGAGGTAGGGGTGAACACGGTTTGGTTCACGCAGTTTTCACCGGTTCCTATTCCAAGCCAATTTTTTCGGTTAAAGTTGTATTGTAACAGTTTGAAACTTAGAAAGCATTGAGAGGTGAAACAACTATTTAAAACATTCTGCTTGAACCTACCAGTTGATTTTTAGTTTTCCCCTTTTATCTCTTCTTTTTACTCAATTACTCTTGATTGCAGGTATTAAGCTGGAAACCACGAGCTCTTTACTTTCCAGGATTTGCAACTGCCGAACAATGCCAGAGCATAATTGAGATGGCAAAATCCAATCTCATGCCTTCGACCTTGGCCTTGCGGAAGGGAGAAACTGATGAGAGCACAAAGGGAACTAGAACAAGGTATCTGTCTTTACGAACCATTTTGAATACACCTTTATGTAAAGGCTGCTTTACCAAAAATAGTTTGCTGCAAGTAGAGAGTAACTCTTAATAGTTTGTAATTGACAATAGTTCAGGCACCTTCATCAGTGCATCCGAAGACAAGACAGGAATCTTGGATGCCATTGAGCAAAAGATTGCTAGGGCTACAATGCTACCAACAACCCATGGTGAGGTAGGTTTTCTTATGAATATCCTTATTTTTAAGTTGTCAGTACTTTGGGTATGGTCATAACTCAGAAGTGTTGTGCCGGAATTTAAAAAGCTGATAGATTTTTCACTTTTTTCAATAAATCTTATTGTTTTTTCTGGATTGGGCGTTACTAATCCATTTTGTGTGTGCGCTTTTTATTTTTTTAATTTCTGAAAGTCAGAACTAGAAGAAACAAGCTAACATTTCTGTTCCTGAAACGAATCTTAAGTGATCTGTAAAACACCGGCACAAACGCCATTGTTTTAACCACTTCATCACACACAAATACACATTGATCACCTAATCCCTGCATACGACCAAAAAAAAAAAAAAAAATCGAATATATTGAGACCAAAATCAGTATCTTAGTTGGTTTTGTGATATAGTTAAGCACAGGTAGCTTCTTCCAAGATGATCTTGTACATTCTTGTTAAAGAATGATAAAAAAATTGTATATTTGCTCCTAGATACTTGTACCCTTTTCTTTTTTACTTTTAACAGAACTCATGACTGAGAAATTTGAAATAGTTAACCTCTCATTACAGGTCAGTTCTTTATTAACCTGAGTAATGCGGGGATATCACCATGTTGCAGGCATTCAATATTTTGCGGTATAACATAGGCCAGAAGTATGATTCTCACTACGACGCATTCAACCCAGCAGAATATGGCCCACAAAAGAGCCAAAGGGTACACACATAAACTGCTATCTCAATTACAACATGACATAAATAGAGACTCATACTTTTAGTTTGATTCTTAAGTTTTTCATTAACTCAAAGGCATTGCAGTCTTCTGATTAGTTTTCCTTCTCTCTTCTGCTTTTTCATTGGGATAAGCAAATGTCCATGCTAGCCTCGCCTTCTTCTTTCAACTGTTGCAAGTTGATAGGCTTTACATTAAGAGGAACTGAGGAAGCTAGCCTTGCCTTCTGCTTTTTTCATCAGACACTTTTACATTCTGTATGTCTAAGTTGTATGTCAAACTACCGCAATAGATAGGATATGCTCAAAATGCGTATTTCAGTTTCCCGATCTTATCCCTATATTCTTTGGTCATTCCGGTTTATGCAACTACTACCACTTGATAATTCTCTTCTCTCAAACTGCAGATTGCTTCTTTCTTACTGTACCTATCTGATGTGGATGAGGGTGGTGAAACTATGTTTCCTTTTGAGGTAGGTCATAAAATTTTTTCGTTTCACCCCATCATTATCTAACTAAATTCACATCTGTTTGCAAGTTTCCATAATCTCTCTGTTTTTATTTGCAGAATGGGGAAAAGATAGATATGGGTTTTGATTACAGAAAGTGCACTGGTTTAAAAGTGAAGCCCCGGCGTGGGGACGGATTACTGTTCTATTCAGTGTTTCCAAACGGCACAATTGATCAGGTCAATATTGTCTTAAAATGTTCTTCAATATACTGATTAGTATTTTCATGTAAAAACACAAAACTGATGACCGAACAAAGCTCCCTTCATGGGACTTTATGCTCACATTTGTAGTTTTTGATCTACTTGCAGTTGTCTCTCCATGGAAGCTGTCCAGTGATCAAAGGGGAGAAATGGGTTGCAACAAAGTGGATTAGAGATCAAGTAGAAGAGGACTAATTTCAATTTTGAATTTTTGACCTTGACGCTTGATTCGTCACCATTGTATTTTCATCAGTCAAACATCATATTGTCCTCCTTTCAGGAACAGGTGGTTATTTACACATTCTGACTTCAGAGAAAATATATCTTCTGTACCACTGTTCTTGGGTATGGTAGTTAATTCGATCTTTTGGATGGTTGAAAATTCCTCATTTATTGGTGTTCATTCTCATTGTAAAGCTTGCCATTTTTGTGGAAGAATGTGGTGTGTCGTTTTGGGGATTACTGCAATTTGGTGAAATCCTCAATTCTGCATTACACATACCAACATATTTGATGCAAATACAATACTCTGGTACAATTGCCCAGTGTTATTTATTTGCTATTCTTCACCAACAGGCGAATGACATGCTAATACTCAATAATCAAGATTAACAATTAGATTTATTTTATTTATATATTAAGAACTGTATAACAAGAAGTATGGTATGGCAGTGGCACCTGTTTTAAGGGTACAAAAGGAAAAACAAAGACTAATGGCAGTGCGGAACTACGTTTGAGTATAGAATAAGCCTCCGTTAACTTCACCGATTCGAGTTTAGAATTTGAGTTTTGCTACAGTAAAAAGTTCTCAGAAACAGTTACATCTAACCTTTTTGCTACAGTAAAAAGCTCTCACATAAAATCACATCTCAACTCGAATTACAAACTCGAATCAGAAATAGTGCTTCAAATCTTCTAATTTTTTTAGTGATGGTCAATATTAAACATAAAATTGATTCTTAAAAGATATTAATATTAACATGAACATATATGAGAAGAGCCAATAACCGTTGCTCCTCACTCACTTGGTTCAATTGCTAAATCTATTTCTATCATTTCCATTTTCAAATTAAAGTTTTTTTTAAAAGTACATTTTTTAGTGTTTCTATTTTTAAGCGGTCGTTTTTCAATCAATGTTGTCTTTTGTTTTCATATATTTATTATTCTCCAAAAAGAAAAATGCCCTATTCATCAATTAAATGAAAATTCTTTTTGTCTTATGGGAATTTATCCCTATATACACAAAGAGATGGCCATATAATGAGACTCAAGTGGACCTCATAAATGGGGCCTACTTTTATAAATTCCTATCATAACAAATAGTGCTGCTCTCAATTAAAAAATCAATTTCTTTTTTATAAAAGGTTGTGTATTGTAATTCAACTACAAATCAATCTCTTTTGTGTTATCTGAATGTCGTCCCCTAAAGAGAAAAGAAAATTAAAAAAAAAAACTTTCTAGTCTTCTACTGTAGTCCATACATGCCTTGATCACTGTCGTTTTTTTGAAGGAAACAAAAGTTTTGACCCAACATGCTAGGAGTGTTTAAAAAATCCATCAAATTGTGAAAAGCCACTCAATCTAAACTAAACCAAACTAAATTATTAATTATTTTTAAATTATTAGGCGGCTTGATTAGTTTTTAATCTAATTTTTTTAGGCGGTTTAGTTTGTAGTTTAAACTCCCCAAACCCCTCAAATTGTCCAATAATCAGCCTAAAAATATACATATATAATTTTTTAATTTTTAAAATATTTTTTATATTTATTTTAATTTTTATTAGTCATAATAAATATTCTACACTTATAAAATACACCGTATCATATTTTTCCTAGTTTATATTAAAACTTTAAATGATAAACTGTTAGACATTTATTATTTTTAAATTATATTGTAAACTTAAATCTTATTTTTATTTTTATTGATTAATAATTTATAATTTTTTATGAATTATTAAAAACTTTTTAAATCTTAAACTTAAACTGTCCAAATCAAACGGTTCAAACTATTTATAAGTGATTTAGTTTAATTTAATTTTTATTAAAAATATTAAATTATTAAAAAAATTATTTTTAATTTAGTTGGTGGTTTCAAAAAAAAAAAAAAACTGTCCAAACGGCCTTTACGACATGCCTAGATTACTCTTTTGAAGGAAAGAGAAGTTTTGACCCACGAAAGTCACGTGTTGATCTATGATTGGGTAAAAGGGCGAAAATATTTACATACTAATGCGACACGTGTCGACATATCATTGGGTATAAAGGGATGACCATCTTTGCACAGCCACACCATAAGCACGGGATCATAGTGACTCGTTTTTTTAAACGACCGTTGGATTGGAGACCAAAAAGGGACAACCTGTAACGGCTAGTTTTCATTTGAAACGAAATTGCCGACGGACACAATCAAGAACCCTCATTCCCGAACACTAACAACTATAATTTCCAAATCATTTTCCCTTCTTTAGAATTAAATTTACATTATCCGAATCTAACATTTCTTCGTCTTCTTCATACCGCCCCTCTTTTTCCACACCGAATCTCTGAGTCATTTTCAGAAGCTTCTTTCTATCAACATAGGAATTTCGGAAATGGATCTTGGATGCTTGGACATGGGTTGCATCACTGTCTCGGACTCAAAACTTACTTCCGAGTCCGCTCTCGATTGGGAGAACCAACAAAACCACACCGCGGAATCGCTCACAGCGACAGCAAAGATCGGAAAGGTACATTTCTTTGAATTTTTAATTTGTTTTGTCACTGAAGAGGTTTTTATAATTTAGTATCTTCCGTTTTCTTGAATTGCGCTTAACTTTTGGATTTTTCGTGTTAAGTTTTTTTTTTCTTTTTTTTTCTTCCTGTGGTTCATATTTCAGAACAACCCTTCTTTGGCGACTTTTAAGTTTGATTTTTTTATTTATGTTTTTTTTTTTTACTGATGTTTTTTGGATTAGGACTATAGAAATCACTAAAAACCCTAATAAGCGACATCTAAATCCCTGTTTAGATTCCGGTGACATTGTTAATTTAAGTTGATTGTATTTGTTTTGCGCGAAATATTGGCGAATTCAAAGAATCTGATCACTCTTGGTATTTTATCCTAACTAATTTATTTAATTTGAGTACATTACTCCTTATATTACTGAACTCCGCTCTATTTTTAAGTTTCTGTTTTAGCTTTAGTTTGATTTTGATTCAATTGAATGCAAATAACTAAATATTGAATTGCATTAGTTTTGTATCGTTAAATGCCTTTATCATTATAAGCATGTCATGGACTTTGTTTGGATTAAAGTTCCTAGGTAGAATAATCAATTTGGCTTGAGAGATTAAATAGCACACGCATCATTATGAATATTGGTAATTCTTTTTGAATTATCTATTTACATTTTGATTGTTGTGTACAGGTTTTTATACCTTCTTGAAAGATAAATGTTGAAGTTTTTATCCTTCTTTTTTTGTTGAAGTTTGAGGTTTATAATGTGTCTGTTTTGTGATTATTGCAGAACAAGCAAATGAAAGAGAATGGCCAGTCAACTCTGAATTCTCTTAACAAATCCACTTCTCAAATAAAGAAGCCCGGTCATCGTAAGAATTCGCCGATCAATTGGTTCCCGCGAAAGAAGGTCGACTCCTACTTAAAGAGGAAAATTAAAAGGCTGCAGGTTGGTTATCTCTTACTCCAATGTACTTCCATTCTTCCAAATATTTTATTTTGATACCATTAACCAAAACTGATGAACCTCCTCATGACAGGAAGTAGCTGGAATGAATTTGACGCTTGATGAGACTCTTGGTGATTCCAATCCACACTACTCTAAAGTACTGAGAGAAAAAATCGCTACTAGAGAAGCTGCGAATAAGGCGATTAAGGTTCGAAGAGCTGCTTTAGTGGAAGCTTCCTGGTGTCGGATACTTAAAGCAGCTAGGTTTGGTTTCAGTTGACAAAAGCATTCATGAATACTTCCTTTCAACTTTTGGTTTTTTATTAACTTTTTTTTTTTTTTTTTTGTTTCTTCAGGATCCAAAGCGAAGAAGCCAAAGCACAACTGCTGAAAGCGGAGCAAATCGCGGTAGAAGCTTTTGAAGCAGCATTAGCCATAGGAGTAAACATGTATGACATACCGAATTGCCCTAAGAACCCTTCTCAAGTAGATAGATCTTCTTCTTTTTCTTCTTCCGTAGAAGGATCCACCACTCATGCTGTCACGGCATCTTTCGAAACTGCATTTGATGTAGACAAAGAAGTAGCTGCAGCAGTGAAAACTGCACTGATAAGGCTTGCAAACTGCCCTTCTTTTAAGAAGGATGAGTTCAAAGATCTGCTTCAAAAGATCAGTCAGAACCCAGATACGGGTGAAAATAATGACGAAGAAAAATCTGAGGATTCTTCTCCAACATGTGAACCAAAATCTGGATCAAAAAGGGAAGCTGTATCTCGAACAGATTGTATTAGCCCTCAAGGTTCTGATTGCAAGATTCCAGTTTCGCAGTTGAGACAAAAGAGAAGTAAGAGAAGACAATCGCTTGAAAAGTTTAACAAGATCAAACTTGTTAACGCGATGTTTGATCGGCTTCAACTTCTGCAAGAAGATGAGCTTTCTTCCCTTGCCACTATAGTTGCAACTTGTGGTTTAAATGCTGCCTTAGCCGAAATCGTAAACAACAAGCCAGGCCCTGCTGCCGATTGTAAGACCTCGAACACTGGTAAGCTTGAACACTTTAAGTATGGGAATATCAGAAAGAAGCAAACAGAACCAGAACTGCCAAGTTTAGACAAGTTTTTAGTAAAGCACATGACAAAGCTTGAAAGAGAAGTTCTGGAGGCCAGGAACAGCAGGAAGGAATCTTCTAAGCAAGGAATGGTTGAGAATTCTGTTAATACTTCAGATAAAAGGGAAACTTCAACTGAGACTATTCCGGACTTGGGAAGCATTCTCTTGAAGCATTCTTCGAAGTTTGAGAGAGAGATTGAAGAGGAAAAGAAAAAATCAGTAGGCGATGCGAAAATGGGCAATAAGAGTTTGCAAGGAGATACAGTTTCATCGGAATCCATTCCAGATTTGGGGAGTGTGCTCATTAAGCATTCCTCAAGACTTGAAAAGGAGATCGAAGAAGCAAGGAAGAACTGTGGCAATAATTCAGAAGGAGCACCAAACAGTTCGTATAGTCGTGTTAAAGAAGATGGTTTGGGAATACCCAGTCTAGATAAGTTCTTGGTGAAACATGTATCAAGACTAGAGAAAGAGGTCCAAGAAGCAAAGGCCAGAAGGAATAATGAACCTTGGGAAGGAAGTAAAACAACTAGTCAAGTTGATTTGTCAGCTTCAGAGGAGGAGAGAAGTTCCAGCTCTCATTCTGATGAAGGCCCAAAGGGGAAAGAAAATGTTGAATTAAATACGAGGGCTGAAGATAGCTTAGACGAGATCTTGGTCAAGCCTGTACACAGGCTGCAAAGGGAGAAGATGCAAGCTTCAGCATTGGGTAATAATAGTAGATATGATAAACTCCAAAAGAAACATGGTGGGAATGTTGGCGCAGAATGTGAGAGCTTGGACAAAGTCTTGGTAAAACATGTTTCCAGGCTGGAGAGAGAGAAGATGAGAGCCGGTTCGGAGGAAGAAGCAGCGATGAAAGTGAAGAAAGACAAGACAAATATGTGTCGGCAGATGGAGGAAGCCGGTAGTTTGGACCAGGTTCTGGTTAAACACAAGTCAAGACTTGAGAGCGAAAAACTGGCTGCTGCCCAGCAAGCAGATGACTATGCTAGACTCTCCGTGACTCGAAGAGAAGCAAGAGAGAAGGAGTTGCAAGAAGCATGGGGTGGTTTAAGTTTAGGCAATTCCATGAAGCCCCATTTATCGAAACTTGAACGCGACAAGGTAAGTCAAATCGCTCTTCTGTTGATACGTTTGCTCGTTAAATTGTTTGTTTGTCTTTCTTTTGAATTTACTTTGTTTCTTATTTTGTGTAGGCTGCTTGGATCAAAGCTGAAGAGGAGGAAAGGAAGCAAGGCATGGTTTTCTCGGATTAGTGCCGAATAGGAGAATGTAAATTATATTGATATTTTGTGTTTTTAATATCAACTTTTGAGTGTTTTGTTTAGTCTGATGTAATATAGGAACGTGCATCTGTTTTCTCTTCCTTGAGAAAAAGAAAGAAAGAAAGAAGCAAGCTGTAATTTTGTTGGATCTTATGTCACATAAATTGTTCTTTTATCCATAGAATTCTTTATTCCTAGTTCTACAAAATGATGCGGATAACATCATTCCATTATTAATGAGAATGACGTGTATTAGTAATATTTTAATTAAATTCTATCATACTCATAATTCTCACATACTCGTTGGTCAATGCATTTCATGATATTTTAGCATCATGCATATGATACATGAACACTTAGTCATTTTATATGCAGTTATTTGTCATAATGGTGTGCATTGTAATTTGAAGTGAATTATATGTTTGATATGTTCATTATATAGGCGAATGACTCGAGGTTGCCCAAGAGAAGGATCCGGTAAGTTGGGAAATGGACAACAACTTGTTCTTAATGATATTTACAAGAATTACTAAGTGAAAAGTAAAATATGGAGTCCTAATAGGGCTTTAAGGTAAGTTTAATGAAAATGTACATATTGGTGTGATGTGTGGAAAGGTTTGGACTTGAGTTAATGTGCCAAAGAGACTACTTAAGGTGATTCTAAGATTGAAATAAGGTTAAGAAATGGATGATGATAAGGGTTTAATGATCGTGTTATTTTAGAAACCCTAAATTAAGCATATTTTGGTATTCGAGTTTGTGGAATCAAATTGAGATTTTATTGAGGTTCTAAAGGAATTATGGATCCTAATAATTAGGGTAAGAATGAAATAGAAAGTGATTATGTTAGATGTTTAAAATTGAATGAAAAGTATGGGAGATGTAAAGTTAGGATTTGTCACGTATCGAAATTTCGGTGCAAGCTCATACACCAAATTTAGTAGGCCAAATGATTGGCTAAGACCTTGTTCATACTTTGAGAATTTGTGTGAGTGTTGTGTGCAAGAGAAGGTGGTGAGAGAGCTGCTTAAGGTGATATTTGATTAGAGGAGAGGAGAGTGCTTCATGGTTAAGTAAATTGAGATGCTTACTTGTCTCTTTAAAGTGTTAAGCAAGGAGGTGAAGAGGAATCAGCCCCAAAACCTTCTATTCCGACCCTCCTCTGGTTCCAAAGTGCTTCTCCAGCCATTTCTTAAGAAAACCAAAGCAAATCCAAGTGGTTTGATGAAGGATTGATCATAGGAACACAAAGAGATTGAAACTAGTGTAAGGTAAGGTGAATTTTGTGATTATAGTTTAGTTTCTCTCAAGATTGGTGATAAGTCCGTGCTCTAATCCTTGGGATTGTTTTATGGTCTGCTCCAAGAGTTTATAAGAGGTTTAGGAGCTAATCATTTGAATTGGAGGTGGGAGACTCACAAGAAAACCTAAACTAGATCAAGGTAAGGGACAATTTTCGTTTGGTTCTGTTTTGATGATGATTCAGAAGGTTTTATTTATAGTTAGGTCATGATTTTTGAGATACGAGATCTTTAATATGTTAGATTGAAGCCTATAAAAAAGATTAGAGCTAACTCAATTGGAAGATGGTGGTTTAAAGCTTGTTTTATTGGAGCTGTCCAGATTCAGGTCAGTTTTCATTATGCTTCAAGTTTTTATTTATTTGCCTAGGCTATGAAGCTCAAATGAAGCTAAAAGTTTGAGGATAACTCACTTTATATGTTGACTAAATGTTCCCAAAACCGTTTTGGAAATGTCCTTGTGGTTTGGGAGTTATGGTTTTAAAATTAAGGCTGGTTCCTAAGAATTTTGGTGGTTTTGTGATAATTTTCTAATTTAGGATTATTTTGTGATATTAATTTATTTTAGGAGATTAACAGGTATTTTAAGCTTTCGGGAGTGTTAAAATGTAGGAGAAATTCTGACAAAATTTTGAAAAATAGTTTGGAGGGGTTTAGAGGCCATTTGGGGTAGCTGGGCGCACCATGCTACATGCTGTGGGCGCCCAGCATGCTGCAGCATGCCCTGTGAACGCACCAGTGGGGCGCTGGCAACCCCTGTGAGCGCAGCATGGGGTGCTGGCAGCCCTGCACGCGTTGTGCAGCCCTGTGCGTGCTGTGTGCGCACGGTTGGTGCCTTGGTGCCCACCTGCACGCACGGTTGAGCCAAGTATGCGCTAAAATTAGGTTTTTGACTCGTTTTTCTAATTTTTAGTCATTTTAAGCTGTTCTCAGTTTGAATTGGACATTTTTGACATATCTTACTAAAATTTTCTATTTTCACCCAAATGACTCTTTTTAATGGAATATTTTTTTAAGTAAAATCTTTAAGTTATGGAAAATTTGAAAAAAAAGGAGTGTTTTTAGAGGCTTTAAATGAAAAGTGTAATTTGTTGAGCCATTTTAGGCTATAGTTTGGGTTATTTTAAAAGGAAAGGAATAAAGTCATTAATCACAAAACTAATGATAGTATATTTAAATACCCAACATCACAGTTGTTCACATCGGATTCACCAAGAGGAACTCTGAAGTCATACTTTCTGTCATACGGTGCGAGGTAAGTAGAATATCACATGTATCACCATAATAATTGTGCATAGTACATTTGTGATACTTGATTATGTGATGTATATGTATAATGCATAAAGTATGTACATGGTACAAAATACAAGAAAATGCTATATAAGGAATGAGTGATACACATTCACCAAAGTAATAAAGGGAATGATAATTCGTAGTGATTGGTAATGAGGCTAAAACAATCTCGATGGGGATAGTAAAGACCATTAAGTCTCTGGGAGACATATGATATTTATTTGGCTACAAGGTCTGGGACCACTAAGTCTCTGGGAGACATATAATAATCATTATGAAGGCCATAAAGTCTGGGACCACTAAATTTCTGGGTGACACATGATGTTATTAATAATGGCCACAAGGTCTAAAAAAAGAGAAAGTGATATAGCCACGACAATTGTGCATACAAGTGATGAAATAAAAAGGTAACAAAGTGAATAATTAATGTTATACGAAATGGAAATGGAACAATAGAAAAGGCTGAAGTTAAGATGTGATGTTATATGTTCAAATTACTTATTCATGCATTTATTTTACTTATTGGGCTTTAGCTCACTTATTTATGGTGATGCAGATGAAGACACATCCCGACATTATATGAACATTGTTTTGGTGGTTGGTTAGTGTCATCCTTAGTACCAAGACTTTTGTATATGGACGATGCTGACCTGTTTGAGGCCCTGAGTTACTAACTATTTACTATGCTCTTATTTTTGTTTGTAAGAACTGTCGGATCTATTTTTGGGATATGTATTATACTGTATATACGGGACATCAGTCAAAAGAAATACTAAAATCATGTTTTTGTACCATTACGCAAAGAAAGTCTTAAAAAGTTTAAATTTGTCTCACATTTTAATGTTATCAATCTAAAGAAAGCTCAAGGTAAGTTAAAAACAAATCTTAAAAGAGGAACGACACCTAGCATAACTTGGTAATTTTAAGGTTAGACTAGCTAGGTGTTACAAATTTATTACGAACATAATTTCAATTATTATTCTTAAATTTTATCGTCTCGTCACTTATATAAATCACATAAATATCTTTATTACATCCTATGCTTTAAGAACACTATTTCTAACAACATAAAATCTAATGCTTTTTAAAAAAAAAAATCAAATCAAATACTTAAAAGAACCATTTCAATTAAAAGAGACAAATCAGAGTTTATATTGAACTCTTTTTTTTTTTTTTTCCGTTAACTAAAGAAAACATCAACGTTATACACTTGAATCAATTACATGCGAGTCCTAGTTTTCTCAGGAATCAAATACTTAAGAGAACCATTTCAAATTAAGAGGAAGAAAGAGAAAAATCAGAGTCCAGGATTACATACGAGTCCTATTTTATTTCAATGTTTATCTATTTGGATTATTTAAAATCTATTAGGCTTATAAAGGTTTTATTTGAGTTTAATTATTATTTGGACTTACAAGTCTATAAGTATCGTTTTAGCTCAGACTTTGACGCTTAACAAAATACAGATACTTCCTCCCTTGTTCTCTCTTCTGTACTCCTCCTTCTCTTTCTCTCTCTAGCTCCTTAATCATCTTCGTCCAATATCAACTAGAATGATAGAATTAATAACATGATAGTAATAATAATTATGTCTCATTGCAAGAAACACCGAAATCAAAGTGCTACCCTCTTCTGTTACGATTGCAAAGCAATAGCATTCTGTTCAAGCTGCAAGGAAACCGACCGTGCCAACCACAATGTTCAACAAGTTTGATCTTTCTTTTTCTTTTCTTTTCTTTTCTTTCTTTCTTTCTTTTTTTTTTCTCAGTCTCCTCTTATGTTCTGAGAATTTCATTAGTATAACACTACTTGCGTTTGATGAATGTGTTAAAAAAATACTCAAATCATTTGTTGTTTCTTGATCCTTACGTTACAAGTAAAATCAGTCTTATAATTAAACAAGTTGCATGTAATAAATAAGCGTAATAATTGTAATTAAACAGATCAAGCTGATTACACATAATTATGCCGATTATACGTAAGTATACTGATTAATGTGATTTTTAGAACTACTTCTTAAATTATGCTTTTAATTGTCATTGTTTATGTAGCAACATATATTTCACTGTATTACTATTGGTTATTTATTTACTTATTTTAATTTCAAGAATACCAAACTAAATTGGGTTAGTACTTACAAAGATCCTTTTGGGTCTTGATAATGTATTTATTGAAATAATTAACGTCGCATTTTCTATTTCAGCTGCAGGAAAAGGAAAAGGAAGAGTCCATGCAGATCAACATGAAAGGAAAACAAAAGACAGAAATTAATAAGGAAGTGATACTGCCTCCAATCGTGAGAAAAGGAAAGAGAAAAGCAATTCATAGAATTCCACAAAGGGCTGGCGCCTTTGTATATCCGTGTTAGTTTTTTTTTTTTTTTTTTTTTTTTTCCCCGGGACTAATTATTAGTTTGTGATCTGTTGTTTCTTATCTTTTTTTTTTAGTTAATAAAATTATATTTTTAGTGACAATTGATCTGTGAAGTGTTGGAATACTGCTTGATTGAGCTCTCTTTAGTCTCTACTATTGCAAACAAAATTAGTAAATGGAAGAGAAAGGCAGAGACCTATAGAAGACTAAAATTTAGGGCCCTTTCCCATTGATTTTAGAGGTTGTTTTTAACATTTTTTTAAAAAGTTAAAACAGGTCAAGGTATTTTGGTAAATCTTGTTTACTGTTGTTAAATTACAGAATTTGAAAAGCATGTTATGAGTTACTTTTTTACAACTGCTTCTCCTGTGATGACATGTCCAAATTTATTAAAATAACCTTAATGATAAAACTTACTTCTCTATTTACTTATTTTATTTTTCATACCAAATTAAAAATATTTATTTTTAAATATTTATTTAAAATTAAAAATATCAAATAAATACACTATTTTACTCCCAAATATTTTTTTACTAAGCAAAACGTTTAAAACTAACAACAATAAATAATAAATTTAACAATTTATATGTTATAAATATTTTAAATAATAAATTAAAATCAAATATATTTTTAATATTTTGGTGTGAAAATATTTTGAATATTGATCCTACATGTAGAAACGGAACTAATTATAAATGTGTATTAAAAATATGTATATTTTAATCACGATACATCTTCACGATAATTTTATACATAATTTACCAAACACTTAAATTTTTATATTTAGTATTCACATAAATTTTTTTTTTTAAAAATATCAAACACCTATATGCTTCTATCACAATAACTTCTGAGTAACAATACAATAACAACAAAAATTTTAACGCCACATCAATATCAAATCGGTCCTTACATTGTTGAAACCTAGTAAATCTTTTATCTTTACTATATAAAAGAGAAAACGATATGAATTTACCGGAATTTGTTTTTAGATATAATATAAGGTGGGATCGAATCTGTATTGTCCCAAACCAAAGCTCCACCCCATCCTATCCCTTGACGTTTTAGAGGGAACGACCCGTTATTTTAAGTCGTAAAAGGACAGCACACTCTTCTAACCCAAACGACAGTACGTTCTGAAAGAACCGCCCTTCGCTTGTGTTGAAACGACATGCCGCTTGCGATATGGCAAAAGTGCAAAACGCCATGTCGTGCTCGTGATACCCTGCTTCATGCAATTAATTAGTATCATTATGTTTTTTTTTTTTTTTTTTAAAAGCTCCATTATTAAATTTTGTTTCTAGCACATTATTTTCTTCCTTCTGGTACATAGAAAAATAGAAAAAGCAGCCAAAGTCTCCCTTTTCCTGGACTCTCAGCACTTAGCAGGGAAAGAAACTCACACCCCAGAAAGAACAAATCTTTTTTCCTTCTTTCCCTGCTAAACCCATTCATCACCATCAGCCATGGGAGGAGGCAACGGTCAGAAGGCCAAGATGGCCCGTGAGAAGAACTTGGAGAAACAAAAAGCCGTAAAGGGTACTTTTTTTTTTCATGTATATAATTTGGAGTTTTAATCATCAGATTAAGTGGATCTGGGTTTGGTAATTTTGGGTGCGCTGGTTGATCTTCTTGTGTTTTTAGGCAGCCAGCTTGAGTCAAACAAGAAAGCCATGACTATCCAGGTAGTCTCTATGCAAGCTGCTTTTTTTTTTGTTTTTGATTTCAGCACCTCCCAAGCATGGGGCTTGCTGATCAGAATTGAGAAAAATGCTCCTTTATTACCAATTTGCTACAAGTATAATCTCATTTGTTTGTATTCCAATTTTCCTTTCTGCTTTTGAACCTGCACATATTCCTTTGTTCTCTTGGACTTTTTTTTTTTGAGACTTCATTCTTGGACGATTAAAAGTCATGGGACTTATAGCGTTTTGAACATTGTTATTGTTATTTTTGTTGTAACACATTAGACTCCATTAGTACTAACAAAGATAACGACTTTAACTTGCTGTTGCTCGAACACTCTTGGTGGTTGCAACTGGTTCCTTCAACGATGACGCATCTTGTGGTTGGTAACTTGGTATTGGGTACTGAATGCAGTGCAAGGTGTGCATGCAGACATTCATGTGTACCACAACAGAGGTGAAGTGTTGGGAACATGCCGAAGCAAAGCACCCTAAGGCCGATCTCTTTACGTGCTTCCCGCACCTTAAAAAATGACCACCTTAAACTGCAGAATTGCAGATTAGTAAAAATGGCTGTAAAATGTTATTTGTTCTGTACCTTGCTAATCTGTTATCAGCAACTTGATTGATGAAAGCTTGGTGATGAAGAAGCATGTATGTTAAAAAGAAATGGCTTCTAAGTCTAAAAGTAAATGTGTTTAAATCTTGTTTCTTAATTTTACCCTCCTAATTATTATTTTTCCTTTGAGTGGAAAGTACTCTTCTAAGAAACAGCTTGAGTGGTTAAATTATGATCTCGTCATTCAGCAAGTGTAATTGAATATGCATGTTTTGGCCAAAGCTTTTTTTGGTTTGTATGAGACCCGTCAAAATCTTTGGAAGAAACTATCTGCTACTTGAGTAATTGCATTTGGTTTAGGCTGTCCTTAGCAACCATAAATTGTTTATACTAGAGAGTTTTTTGAAGAGAGAATCGGTGAACTCGCCCTTTGAATGCAATTTTTTTAAAAGATTGTTATCCTTACTCTTGATTAATTCTTTTTTACTAATATAATTCTTTGACTAAAGGGTATTAATCAAGTGTAAGGGGTTAAAATCTAAGACCCATACATTCTATGGGGTATTTGTCTTTTTTTTTTCTTTTTTTGAATCTAAAACCTTAAGGGTCCGTTTAGTTCGTTGATTTGAGTTTTTAATTCGAGTTGAGATGTGATTTTTTGTGGGAGCTTTTTATTATAGTAAAAAAATTAGATGTGACTGTTTTTTATAGTTTTTTTACTGTAACAAAACTCGAATTCGAATCGGTTAAATGAACGGGGCCTAAGTTACCTGATTTTTTTTCCCCTGTAACTCAAGTTTGAGCCCTTATACTTGTGTCAATAGGATAGTCTAAGTGAGTTGCTTTTGTGAGAGTAGATTCTGTTTGTACTTGTTTTAACAATGGAATTTTATGTGCGCTAATAGGACCGATGGTTTTTGGTATGATGTGTGTGTATATATATATATATATATTCTATATATCGGTTTTGTCTTTTCACACACTAAACCTATAGAAGTGGTGTAACCTGAAATATTGACAATTATGCAGTGTAAAATTTATCTCCCGTATATGATTCTTTGTTTTTAATTGTGCATTTATCATTGGTTATACAATACAAATGTCATGTTTTGCTATTTATTTCTACATGTTATATGAAGGACCGGTCGTTGTGAACTGTCTTGCCTTTGCATGCTTGTGTGTGTAAAGCTGTTGATATAGGGTAAGACATTAAATGTTAGCAAGAAAATTGGTCAGCGGGTGGGTTACATTTAACTCGTAGATATTTGTAGTCACTAGTCAGCGAAATAATTGCTGTCGAGAATCAGGAATTATGGTTCCCTTTCTTCCGTTCAAGCATTTTCTCGTCCTTGTGAACTACTACTTTTCAAGTTTCTTCAAGCCTAAAATCTTCCTCTATGAAGGGGTTATAAAGGGTGAATAATGCCTAACAAGGGGTTATTGAAACGAGTAATTCTTTGAGACAAGGAAAGAATAATCAACATTTACTGGACTCGGCTTGAGAAGAATCCCAAACATTTGGGGTTATCCGAGCAAGTAATTAGATTCAGGGTTTGTTGTTCTATTGCTCTATCTCAAAAATGTAAATAGATTAATAGTAAAAAAAAAAAAAAAAAAAAAAAAAAAAAAAAAAAAAAAAAAAAAATATATACCAAAAGAACATATGAAATCCAATAAGAAAGTTGGTTAACATGAACGCCAAATCCCATCCGCAAATGAGTCGGAGCAAGTTTAACAAGACTAAAGCGACGCCCTTCGTCTCTCAAAGCAAATAGTTACGGTTTAATGTGAATATTTCTCGGCGTGTAGGGTTCTTTTGACTAGTTTAGGAAAGTAGTTATAGCTTGTCGTCTAGTATTTCATATCTTTGTAAACGTCGTTTGGCATAACACTATAATCTTCGGCATGGGTCTGTTTTCTAATTCATTACATACTAAGGGCCAAAGTGATAAAAGATTGTGATGGGCACAAGCAAGCAGTCAAATTGAAACATTCAAAACGCAATATTTTGCTCATATAACAATCATTTCTGTCCCCTTGAAAAATGACTTTTTTTTTTTTTTTTGTTTGTGTAAAATTGACAAGCTTAGAGACATGAAAAAATAATTCCTAAAGTCCAATCTATCATGGAGATATTTTATTCAAGCTATTTGAGTACCCTCTCTTTGAATTCAAAGCAGAGAAATGCTTTAGTCCAAAGCTAAATAATGGAAAACATCATCAACCAATACTCGTCATCTATAAATGCAAATTGCCCAATCTCACAGGCATCCATCATAATAATTTCCCACGACCCATCTATTCATTGTCGCACAGGAGAGAGAGAAAAAAAAAATGGGAGTTTTTGGTAGGTTTAGAAAAAAGTTGTCGTCTATATTCCCCATTTGAAAATGAGGGACAAGTTTTTTATGTGCGCCAGTCAAGTGTCAATTGTAATCGGCTAAAAATTTAGCATAATTTTCCCGTATTAAATTATAATAATAATTATTTTAAAAATTAACTTGTTATGAATAATTATATAAAAAATATTAAAAAATACATCAATAAATAATTATTATTTTTATTGTTAATATTAATCATATTTTTTTTTTATAAAAAATACATAAAAATAAAAAATAATTTTAAATCTCCGTAAATCAAACGTACATCACAACTACAACTATACAAGAGCCTGGCTGAACTTAACTTTAGCCCTTCCCAGGGGTTCAAGCCAGCTGGCTGAACTAACTTGTCCTTCCCAGATTCCGCTTCAAAAGTGGGGACCACACCGAAAGTGGGGACCACACCGAAAGTGGGGCCCACTTAAATTGACTCTGAACGCGGCAAAGACAAAAGGACCAAGCTCTTCTTGTTAATGTTTATTTGCGTCACTCACGGCCACTGCCTGGGTCTTTCCAACCCCTTTCCCATTGGTTTTTCTTTTTTGTGTATTTTTTAAACAAAAGCCAAACCCATTTAGCACTCAACAACACGTACAATCTGTTTATTTTACTAATTTAAATTTTATTATAATAAAAAATTTTTAAAAATAATCACATTTAATTTTTTTATTATAATAAAAAAATTTTATATAAAATTACATCTTAATTTAAATTAAAATTTTAAATTAACAAAGTAAATAAGCCTAGTGTTAACTCTTTCTATAAATAGTGTATGTCTTTTTTTACCGTTCGATTTGATTAATATTACATCAAAGTAAAAATCTCAATTTTTTTAATACAAATTTAATAGTTAAAATCGAAACATACCAATAGTATTCTTTTCAGGTCTCACTGTACAAATCTCTTTTACTTACCATACAAACCACTTTCTCATTCCACAAAATGATGTTTTGACTTTGACCACTGACTTTTCTTTCTTCCCCATTATCTTCTTCTTTCTTCCCATCTTGTTTTCTTGTAACTTCTTATATTTTGCTTTGTTAGTTTGGTTTCGGTTTCACTTTCTTTAAGCTTTTGCCATTTTTCTTCTTCCTGGTTGGTTTTCTTCTCTCTAATCTGTGTTTTCTTCTTCTAATGGCTCCTCTTTTCCTTTGTTTCTGCCTTTCCTTTCTCCTACTTTTACTCTCTCCTATTCCTGCCCTCTCCACAAACTCTGAAGGTACTTTTTACTCCAAACCCTTTAGCCTTTCCATGTTTCTCTTTTGTTCCTTTCTGTTTGATTTATGTTCCTGTATCTTTAGAAAGCACTAAGCAAGAGGTGCAAAAAAAAAAAAAAAAAAAAAAAAAAAAAAGATTAACAAAATAATAATTTAGTTAATTTGTGCCCAGTTCCAAATTTCTCTGTGGATTTGATTCATGAGTTTGGTGTTTTCTTATTGTTCTTGTTTGTTTTTTTTTTTTTTTTTTTAATGTTACAGGAAATGCTTTGCATGCTCTGAGAAGCAAACTCTCGGACCCCACAAATGTGCTGCAGAGCTGGGACCCCACTCTTGTCAATCCTTGCACTTGGTTTCATGTTACCTGTGATTCCAATAGCCATGTGATCCGTTTGTGAGATTCTCTCTTTTCTCTGTTGCTCTTACTTTTCTTCTTCTTCTTCTTCTACTGTTCAAGTTTTTTTTTTTTTTGCCTTTTTTTTTGTCCATGACCTAATGGCTTGGTTCTGTCTTTACATTTTTTTTGCCTTTTTTTTTTGTCCATGACCTAATGGCTTGGTTCTGTCTTTACATTTTTTTTTTTTGGTTTTCTTGAATTTCAGGGATTTGGGAAATTCTAACATTTCTGGGACTTTGGGGCCAGAACTTGGCAAACTCAAGCATCTTCAGTACTTGTACTGCTTCTCTTCACTTCTTGTTCAGTTTCATTATTTATGCCACAATAAAATTGATTTTGAACACATGTTTTAGCTACTTCATTTTGTTAAATTAGACCTCAATAAAGCTTATCAGGCCACAATAAAATTGAAAAAAAAAAATAAAGGAAAAAAGAAAACATAGAAACTTTTTTAATTTTTGTGTACTTGATATGATTTGTTTTAAGACACTGAGTGAAATTTATTTATTGGATGAATTGTAGGGAACTTTATAGGAATGATATAAGTGGAAGAATCCCAAAGGAGTTGGGCAATTTAAAAAATCTCATTGGCATGGATTTGTATGACAACAAATTTGAAGGAGAAATTCCAAAATCTTTTGCCAAATTGAAGTCACTCAAATTTCTGTGAGTAACTTTACACTTACTACTAAGTAGCCAGAGATTAGTATGGGATTTGTTTTTGATATCGCGAAATTGATAATGTAGGCGACTAAACAACAACAAGCTAACAGGATCAATTCCAAGGGAGCTCACTACTCTATCTAACCTTAAAGTCTTGTAAGTTATGGTTTCTGCGAGTACATTTTCGTTTGGAGTCATTTGGTTTTGATTCTTTTGTTAACGATCGTACGAAATTTTGTTCGTTACAGTGATGTCTCTAGCAATGATCTGTGTGGAACAATACCTGTTGATGGCCCTTTTACCACATTTCCAATGGAAAGGTACCATTTCTTTTACTTTCCTTTTTCTAGACCTTTCAACTTTACAACATAATTTTATGCGGATCAACAGATGCGATGACTTTCTAGTTACGTGCTGTTTCCATATCTTGGGTCTTGCCCATCATTCTGAAGTTCATTTGCTTCAAGAGAAAAAGTTTATTTAAAGTGTTTCCTAGTTTGTTTATGCGGTCATTCAGTTTTTTTACCATCTAGGAAAAGGTGGTTTTTTTTTTTTTTCCTTTGGCATTGCAGCTAACACAGTTGTCCATTAAAAAAAAATTGTCATTTTTAAAGATCAAGATGATCGATAATCTGTCATTATGTGGTTACACGTCGAACGTGAGAGTGGAACAAATATTGTTCTATTCCTATGAGTAATTCCTAACATCTACTTCCACAAAGTGCCCGTGCGCGTTTGAAGGAACTACATTGTTTCTTTGCTAAACAGCTTTACACTTATCACTCCTTGTCCCTGATTGTATACTTAAGAGTAGTTTTAACATTGAAACCCTAGTGTAAATACATGTAGCTACGTTTTGAAGGTTTATTTTGAAAGAAGTAGAAGCAAAAGTTACCTTTCCTCTTGTCACATCACCAATCCTGATTTGTAAAATAAGCTACTGGTTTCAAAATTGTAAAAAACTTGCGATTTCGGTTTTCTTGTTTGAAGCTCTGTAGTCTGTAGACTGTCATTTAGAATACTAACGGTTCAATCTGTATGTTCTCCCCTTGTTTTATTTTTTTGGCAGTTTTGATAACAACAGACTCAGCGGCCCGGAGCTGAAAGGATTGGCGCCGTACGACTTCCAATGCTGAAGAGCGCTAGAAGGATTTTAACATTGTATTATAAAATAGGTTGATGGTAATATACTTAGCTATGTTACACATCTAGTAAACACTGGCTATGTTACACATCTAGTAAACACTGTTATAAATGTGTGGTTATGAAAGTGGCAAAAGTTGCAAACCAAAAGAATAAAATAATTATGGGTTTGAGACCTCCCACTCTAGATTTTGCACAGGAACTTCGTGTTGGATTAATTGAGTTCTCTTTAATCTGAAGATTGGGATTGGCTTTATAACCTTTGAGCTTTGCCTGAGTTTGCTGGCATGGCCGAGCTGAAAGCTGGATTGATTTACGTTTCTTAACATAGAATAGTTAGCATGTAAATCCAGCTACACTGAGACAAAATGTAAACATAACAGTTGAAGGGATGGATATAGTTGCATGCTTATTCTAGCGATAGTTTTACTTGAAAATTTAGAAGGTCTAGAGTTGGAATCTCCTGCTATAAACCGTTGACGTTGGGTGGCACTAATCCAACTGCTACGAATTGGCAGGTTCGGGAAATTTCTCGAGTTAGGCTAGAAACACCCCTTCAACTCCCCCATACCTCCTAATCTAAAACTATTAATTTTTCCTTTTTTTTTTTCTTTAGTTCTTAGACCAAGGCATGTGAAGAGTTTTTATTTTATTTTATTTTATTTTAAGTAACTTTAATTAAGGGTGGAAAGTTTGCAAGTTTGAGTTTATAATAAATGAGTTTGTGATATAATCATTTGACACAATTAACACGATTAATAAACTGTTTGGGTTAGGGTTGATCTTCCGACATAAAGAAATCCGAATTCCGAATTGTTGCGATTAACTATATGTATTATTTGTAAATTGATTATATACGACATAGTATAAAAGTTTTACGATGTATTAAATATAAATAGTATGTATTTCAAAAATTTTAGATAAATTGTAATTGTTTTTTATAAAAGAAAAGATAAATTGACTAATAAAGCGGTGATACGTGTCATGATTGTATTAAACAAATCTTAATTGTATAAATAATTTATTTAATACACTAATTTAAATGAGTTAAGTGGTTGACACGATTAATATTATTAATTAAAAGATTATGTTTGTGTTGACATTTTTAACACGTTTAATAAATGAATCGTGTTTAAATTAATATTTTTTTATAAGATTAATCAACCGGTTGAACACGAATTGCCACCTTTAACTTTAATATTAGTAATTCAAGTGATTAACAAAATTTATCAGAGAAGAGCTGGAAGAGTAGACTCTGAATAGGGCCATCCTTCATTAATTTATCACCTCTTGATGCAAGGTAAAAATGCCTTTTGGTTGATGCACGTGAGTTTGTAAATGAGATCAGTAATTGCGTTAAGCCTTCAATTTAGAAGTGTAAGTTTGAAAAGTCAAGAGAGAATTTTAATCAGTTGAGGCTTATAAATTTTCTAGAGCTAATGTAATGAAGAAAATTGGGAAGGGTCAATGTCCACCAAATGACGTAACATTCAGGAAAGAGAAAAAGGAAACAAAAAAAAAAAAAAAAAAATGTTGCACCTTCATTGTGGGCACATAATTGCATGAAAATAGTAGGACCGGGGACGTAAGTGGAGGAAAGTCAAAACTGAAGAACAAAGTTGTAAATTGAAGAAATGAAGGAGGACGAGATTGCAAAGACGCTTCAAACAAAGTTACGTGTACCGACTCTTTAGACGTGGCATTCAGTAATGTGGTTAAGAGAAACACGTATCGAGAAAGTGATGGCTAGGCTGAATATCAGGAGTTCAATTTCAGTTTTTTAAATTTGGCGTCAAAGCCAGAAATATGGCAGGTTCTGGAAGAGACCGGCTTTCCTCACCCACTCGCTTTCCACGGGTACTCAACTACTCGCGGTATTCCCATTCAGTTCGTTGATTCGAGTTTTTAATTCGAGTTGAGATGTAACTTTATGTGAAAACTTTTTATTGTAACAAAAAAGTTAGATGTGATTATTTTTGAGAACTTTTTACTGTAACAAAATTCAAATTCTAAACTTAAATCGGCGAAATGAACGGACCTGTAATTTGTAACGTGTTCTTAAATCGTTTTGAGAGGCCAAGAACGTCTTTTTAGAATTAATCACATTTTATGTATTGCTAATAATGTTAGAGTCTAATTTTAGAGATCTCATGTTTTTTGAAAATCATTTTTTATACTAAATAACGTGACAAATAATGGTTGATTTAGATTCACCAATTAAAAAATAGCAATATATTCGTCTAAAAAATATATCATTTACCATATACGTCTTTAAAAACTATTTAATTTGTCAATTATATGTATTGATAATGTTAGAGGTCTAACGTTTTTTAATAATTCTTTTTGTACTAAGTGACATGAAAGTTAATAGTTAATTTTTAGTTCACAAAGTACATTTTTAATGAATTCACCGGTTAGAAAATGACCCTATATTCCCTTAAATATATATATATATATATATATATATATATCATTTCCCATATAACTTGGTACTCAAAAAAGTATTTCATCCAACTCCTCTTCTAGCACTGACTTTTCACAAAAAGAAAAAAAAAAGTGTAGACTACAATTTTCTAACTATTATGAAAAAATAAACAAAAAGAATTTAGGGTCCGTTTAGTTCATTGATTTAAATTTTTAATTCGAGTTGAGACGTGATTTTATGTGAGAGCTTTTTACTGTAACAAAAAAGTTAAATGTGATTATTTATGAGAACTTTTTACTGTAACAAAACTTGAATTCTAAATTCAAATCAGTAAAATGAACGAGAGCTTAAGTATTTTGAAATAGAAATAAGCAATCCACATCCATCTCTAAATTTGAAAAATCCATAGATACCTCATATTCACAGCTTGAAAGAAACACGAGATAAAAACTTTTAAGATTAAAATAAATAATTAAAGGACGACGTTGCCCTAGAGGGCTAGAAAGCGAGTACCATTACATCTCCAAACTCGCGAAGACATAAAGAAACAAAACAAAACCAAACTTCACATTTCGCACGAGAGCCATAAAACACTCCTATATATTTGGGAATTCACAAATCATACCCAACTTTTCCACCTAAAACCCCTGCTCTTTTTGTCTCCAAAACCCCTTTTCTTCCCACTCAGACGACCATGAACGGCGCTTTCTTGAGGAGCGGCACCGGTACGGTCCCCCGTCTGTTCAGGCGGTACTCGCTCACCGACGTCCTCGGAGAATCCGGTGGAGCCCTGGCGAGCTTTGTGTGCAGTCAAACGCCGTCCAGAGCTTACCTCCGCTTCCCTCATTTCATGAGGAAGGCCAGGGATTGCGACTTCTCTCCGTCTCTGCTCTCGTCGGCTTTCTCTTCGTCTTCGTCGTCTTCGACGGCGGCGGCGGCGAAGGCAAAAGAGGTCGGGATCATCGGTTGGTACTTGGGGATGGTCAAATGCCGGCCGATCCTCACCAAGAGCGTAACCTCCGCGCTTATTTACACCGCCGCTGACTTGTCTTCTCAGGTACGGAGATCGGACCGGATTTGTAAGCCCTAGGATTTTTGGCATTTGACGGAGTTTTTTTTTTCTGTCAATTTGGAACTTTTTTTTTTTTTTTTTTGCTCTGAATTCAATTTGGAACTTATTTGCGTTCTTTCAGCTATAATGGTTTGTGCTTTGACCAAAGATTTCTTTTTTTCCTTTCGAGTTTTGCTAGTGCATTGTCCCGGTGATTATTTAATTAATTAGAGAAATTACTTGCGAAGGTTTCTTAATTTGTTGCTTTATGGAGATATGATTTAGAGCTAATGGGAAAATTAGATTATAATTAATATATGATTTTTCAATCATGGAACTATTATAGGTTGGGATATTTTAATTTTGGATGCTTTTGTTGCCCTAGAAATTCTTACAACAAAATGGGTTTTTTTTTTTTTTTTTCCCTGATTGATTGCTGAAGCTAATACACAATATCAGAATTTTACCAGAAAAAATGGAAAGGAAGAAAGAATTTCATTCTTCTTGAAAACCATCGAAAGAGAAGAGCGATTATATATGTAAAGAGGCTGGGACAAAAGACTAAAAAATTGTTGTAACAAAACCAGCTCACCATTTCAGTTCAAGGGCAAAAGAGTAAAGTAATAAAAGGGAAAAAATAAACTTATTTATTTACAAATTATTTAGCTTAATAGAGATTCTAATACACAATTTTCATGATTTTTTTTTTTTTTTTTCCATTTGACCATCAGATAATACCACAGCAATCATCTGAATCTTACGACTTTGTGAGGACTTTACGTATGGCTGGATATGGGCTGCTAGTTTTAGGACCGTCACTGCATTATTGGTTCAACTTCATGTCGAGACTCTTCCCAAGACGCGATTTACTCTCTACATTGAAGAAGATGGCCATGGGACAGGGGATATATGGCCCGGCAATGACTGTTATTTTCTTCTCCATAAATGCTCGTTTACAAGGTATGCTTGTTTTCTTTATTGAGTAAACACTTCTTGTCGTTATATCCGCTTCCCGTTTGTATATGAATTATAAACTTTTGTTTAGATATTTCTTCACGGATTCAATGCGCTTTAAATTGGTATAAACATGCCGCAATCCTTAGTGCAATTCGTTGGTGATATTACTATAATGAGTTATGATTCTGAGTTCTGTATCATCCGACTATGGTTACACCTTCTAAAGCTACGAGGATTGAGATTTTTTTTTTTTCTTCGAAAGGGGTCCAGTTCTGCCTGTATGCTTTTTGAAGTTTTAATTTCGTAATGTTTAGTTGCCATTATTGCCTGGTACAGGTGAAACTGGTGCGGAAATTGTTGCGCGGTTACAAAGAGACTTGCTCCCTACAATGTTAAATGGGGTTATGTACTGGCCCGTATGCGATTTTATTACATTCAGGTTCATCCCTGTTCATCTACAGGTAGACTTTCTGGGTTTCTCGCTCTCTTTTGGTCTTAAGGGAGCGGTTCTTGCGTTAATAGTACAAACTTGAGATTTGCCTTCGTAACAGGGTTAAATTTTAAAAAGTATGGTCAAAATATGTCGTTTAGATTTCAGACAATCTGGCTCTGTGTTTTCTCTTACTTTTTGGTGTTTTCATTTTGACAGCCGTTGGTGAGCAATTCATTTTCATATCTGTGGACGGTTTATATGACATACATGGCAGGCCTAGAGAAGGCAAGCACAATACCAGCTAATTGACCAAATGGACCATTTATTTTCCCCAACATTCAAATAATTAAACTTTTCTGGATGGTCCCTAATGGAGATTGCTCGTATTTTCTACTGAAGATACTTACTCTGCGCTTTTGGAGGAAATGCTGCAAGAGCGTTAGTAACTTACATTCATCTCTGCTCCCCTTAAGAAATGGTTTGACTGACAATCGATTTCTAGCTAACTTTCAGAATTGTAGAACACTTTCTGCGATCGTATTGTTATGGACTAATATGGCAATAGGTTTCTGTTAGTAAAGCAATGGATTGAATTTGTTGAACACGCTTTTGAAGAGTACATTATAACGATAAATTCTTTATCATACATTTTCCTGCGCAGTGCGCAGCTTACTTTTCTTTATATTTTGTTTTGAAGAGGTTTTCCACTTTTACTTGGTGGTAATACTAGTTATTTTCAGCATATCGAGCACTATTAGAGCAGGCTAATATCCACGCAATATTGTTTACATATATGGATATAATGGGAAATTGGGAATCTTCTCTGGCGGCTAATTGTGCAAATAAGTACAATCCATGTAATCACAGAAATTTTCATGATGAAAATCCCTTATGAGCTTAACGGTAGAAAAGAGTACGTTTAGATGATCTTTGTGGCTCTGGTGGCAACTAGATTAATGGGTTGTTACTTTTGAGAGAAGCTCCAATGAAAGTTCACTAAATCTTTGGGTTACCCATCATAAGATTTATGGGCACTGCCTAATAATATAAAAAAACAAATCTAAAATTCTTTTAATGTATGTGTTTGAACCTTTGTTTGGGAAGAAGCTAGGCATGTTCACATGGTATGATTAATCATACGGCATCCAAGCTATGAAGTTAGTATGCATACGAGTCCCTCCGGCTCAACCAGGACCATAATTCTTGAATTTTTACACAAATCAAGATTAACTTATTGTTAAACACTACTCATTGAAATATGGAGGCGCCTACGGTATTAGTAGCAGATCTTCACAATAAAATGATAGATGGCATTGCCATTTAACAACTTGTTATTTCGGAATTGCATATACATTATACATACATGATCAAGTAAAGACCCTGGGTTCTAGCAAGCCACAGCTACATCAGTTTCATACAAATTGATCATCTTTCAAGTGCTGAACAACAAAGTTTAATATAGATAAAACATCATTATGGAAATGTACACGCAATTAAAACTATGGCAATCTATAGAAATAAACTGGAAAATACAAGGTACTATAACAGGATGTCAAAATGGAAATTCCAAAAGACAAGCTAGTCGTGTCAGTGACTGCCAACAGCCGAGGAAAAAACCAAAACAGCCCAATACACAACACACCAACAAAATACCAAACCTATTTATCTTGACTACAATCCGATTGAGACCAAACATTTGACTTCCGAAAACATCACGAGCAGAATAGTATTGCATTCTCGTCAAGCTCACCTTGTTATGTACAAGAAGGCTGTTGAAATAATATAATAACCAACAATTAATGGATGCACCAGAAAAATGGATCAAGCCAAATCCTTAACAAGGCGTTTTGGGACAATAGCTTCAACTAAGTAACTAGCCTAAACAACTTTACCGCATCAGTGACTTGATTCAAAAGCACTAAAAGTACGACGTCCAAACAGCAAAAACTTTGCACTCAGTCAACAGAAAGAAAAAAAAAATACAAATTGACAGCCATTAAGAGGCAAACGACACATTAGCCATGCAGTATGCATGAATTCTAACATTCAGTGACCAAATGACCATTTAGACTCCATGAGCAACAATGACACATGCTACACCTCCAAGACTTGGGTGACATCCACTTGAGCTCCTACATCATTAATGAAGTAAGTAAAAAACAAGGGACAGCATGAATCAAAAGCTGTTGAAAATATCAAAATATTAACATATGTCAAAAGTAATTGTGCAGTCTCTAAACAATACCTAGCCAACTTCCTGTATTCTCAATCTGTCTACCAATGCACATGTGCACACACGCATTTGAATAAGTATCTAAGTTCTAGGCGACACCGCTTGATATGATCTTAGTACATACCTTGTAAATGAAATAAGAACAACGTAGGTGGTGCGGGAAACTGAAGCAAGTATTCCTTCCCAAGTTCCAAGAGAGCCTACTTGAAGTCTTCTAAAACTGATAGAAACTTTACTATTGTGACGTACCTAACTATATTATTGATAAAAACTGCACTCAAAACTTATGTTAGCCCAAAAAAAAAAAAGGGGGGGGGGGGGGGGGGACTCAAATTAAGGTACCGTTTAATATCTGAGTAAAACTGTTATCAGAGTGAAACAATTTAATGCCGAAGAAATATTCAAAGCGTCTTATAATTTGGGAAGCAAAAACGATCAAGAGACTGGTTTCAAAAGTACCGATCCGTGTGGACTATGGAACTGATTTGTTAAGGGCCACAAATTTTCCAATATTTGTTGGTTATGGTTTCATACCTTAAAGCATACAAAGACCCTTCTGGACTTTGTTCCATATGAAGTAAATTTCAGTTTCAGAGGCTGGGTTGGCATATGTGATTCTAGGCATTAATAATCAGTGGCAATAATTTTGTGTCATCCTGGATACTTTTGGTGATTGACGGCTGAAGTCGCAATGACCATTCAAAACAATTATGGTGCTAAACTGCGTACACAATTTAGTGAATGTGAAAAAGGGACAGAACATAATAGTTTAAGACTTGTATGAAACTCTTCAAACGTCAATATCATTAATTGTAATAAGGAGTTTACAAAAAGTTTTATAAACATGCCCCCTCCACAAGAAATATCAAGCCTACATCTAGATGCAACCTAAGAACTTAATCAAAAACTTCCACAGAATCCACTAATTAATCCCTATGGTAATAGCTGTGACACTGTAACTGGCAGAGATCAAAATTCATGTGAGGTTAAAGAATTGATTCAAAATACTGAACCATTGACTACAGTAATCTTTATGCACGTCACATGATCTGATCAACTGCAGAGTTCCTGGCCAATGTGCGCAGTTTTGTTCACTCTTCAAAAGCATGTAAGCCAATCTTCTCAAGCTGGACAGCCCAATCTTCTCCAAGTATATGGGGATTCAACTGCATTGCTGTATGAAAATCCAGCATGGATACACAAGTAGATTTTGTTGGATTTTGTGCAAATCTCCCTGGCACCGTCTTGTTTAAACCATGTATAAACCGGCTGTTAAAAGGTTTTAACTGCTCATTTCCACACCTTGATCCGGCTAAACCCATACATGGCTCAATTAGTCTCTTTAAATACGCATCCAGCCCATTATTTAACAGGTTAACACAGTCCATAGATATATTAATCCCTTTCATTTCCAACTTCCGCTTCACACGACTTCTTAGCAATCTTGTATCAGGTAGCTCACCACTGTTTTGACAGGTCTCCAACCGGTAATTATTACCTATAGATATGTTACAGAGAGCTTTACGAGCACCGCCCAGATTCATGGATATACCAAGAGGAGCCGTAACTGGACTTCTGCTTTGTACGCCAGGGCTTCCTGCATCCTGTTCGACTTCTTCCCCATCTTCTACGGACGCAACTTCAACGGGAGGTCTGCTGCCAAGAGAAAGCAATTCCGTAGCGCTTTGCTGCTCTTGCGGCTTCGAAAGCAATTCCTCACAGGTAACACTTTGAGGCTTCCCAATTGGGCCCAAAGGACTCAGGCGGTCTCGGAGCTTACGATCTCGATTGACTGGAGACCTACCCTTGCGAGGGGAAGAAGGAAAGGCGTCCCCATAAAGAGATTGGAGATAATTCTTTTCCAACCCATTGGCGATCTTAACATTAAGGTTACTCCCAACTTTCCTAATACCCTTCGTCGGCGGAACTTTAGAAAGGCACGCATTCTTCACAATTGATCTAATAAGCTGGTTATGAAGAGGGACATTTTCCTTCCCAATTGTCCGAATGCAGAACTTATTGAATTCACATTTACTAATCTTCAAGCTAAACAATCTTCTGAGGTGATCAAAGTATTTCTCAGCTCTCTGAAGCCCAATCTTCTGGACCATTAGAGCTTTCAGCTCTAAAGTGTCGATTCGAGAGTAACTTTGATCAAGAGACATTTTTGCAACTCTCAAATAACTCACCAAAGCCAAATCCTCATCAAAATCTTTGGATCCTTCAGCAAAAGCCAGATGACAAACAAACCACAGGATCTCCAATCCCAAATCTAAAACCCTAATTTCCAAAAGTGCCTCATCTGTGTATTGACCGAAATTGCATCAGATCATGATCTTCCAAGTTTCTAAATTGAAATTTACAAAACCCATTTGATAATTCAGTTCAAAACCCAGTTACAACACCATAAATATCATAACGAAAAAAAAAAGAAAAAAAAGTTAATTTAGGACTAAATACTTTTTGCCCGATTAGCAAAAAAATAATACTTTTTGCCCAGCAAGAATTTATCATAATTCATGCTAAAGATCACAGCTTTACAAAACTCTGAAAATAAGGAAAAAGAATTTGGCGAGAAAAAATACTAAATACGATCAATTTCAGCCGCGAAAACACAAAATTAACAGAAACCCATTACAGATTTCGAAGATAAATCAAACCCCAAAAGACCAATTTTAGCGAGGGACCAAAATGTCGTACCTACGAAGACGAGGACGATGTTGCGAATTGACTCCGAATTTCGGGTGTTCTTTTGTTGCCCTTTTTCCACGATAGCATTTTTTTTGGCGATTGAGGTGAAGCTTGTTTGTCTGTGTCTGTGTTTTATGCCATTTACGCGGTAACAGAGACAAGCCAAACAGAGTCTAAGATGTAATGCTTTTCGAACATTCTTTTGTAGAAATGCACGTGACCTTTTATGAGGTTTGAGATGTGAGACTCTAAGGGCCGTTTGGTTGGCCTTCCTATTAACTGTCTTTTCTTTTGAAGACTGCTAAATTGACAAGCGAAAACATTGGAAGAGGAAGAAAAATACAATAAGAGTTGTAAATAAATGGATGTCCGAAATTGACCTCCTAACACATTTATCTCCCAACAAAAAGAACACTCGGTCCCCAAAAAAAAAAAAAAAGGAGACCAGTTTTTTTTATCAAGGTTAATGACGAGATTAAGCAATTTATCATTTGGTCCCTGATATAGTTTTATAAGAAATCACCATGAATTAAATTTCTATTTACAACGATCCAAATCGTTAATCCGTTAAATTTCAGACGAAATCCCTCATGTGCGACTTTTATGAACATATTTTAAGTGTATTTATAAGACTGTCCCATCCACTCCAATTTTATGAATTTATTCGGAAAGTAACAATCATCACTTTTTTATTTTTATTTTTATTATTAATGCCTATTGCCTGGGGATTGAGATAGGGGTTGGGGAGGGCTTTGGGTGAAGATTGCAGAGGTTTGATTCCGCGCGTAATTTTGAAGGAGAAAGAGGAAAATATGTTAAGATTTGAGATGAATTAAAATTAATAAGTTAATAGTTTACATAAGTTAATAAATAAGTTAAATTACTGTTTTTGTCCATTAATTTTTTTTGCCCTTAAGACGTGTAATACAAAGAATTGTGGTAGCAAGCAAAGTAGAACCAAGTCATGTCAAAAGGCCTTTCCATCCCGCTCTATAGGCCTTTTTATGCTATTTTTTTTCCTTTTCCAGTCTGGTTTGCTCATTAAGAAGAAAGTATTTTTGGAAAAGTTAGTTTTTTAAATGACACCACGCAAAGGTTCACGTTTGAAACTCTGTGCTCTGCGTCTGCCAACATAATAAACATAGTTTTTGTATGCAGAGTTCTGGGTTATCTACTCCAGTCTTTGCAAACTCCATATGTAAAAAGAAATATGGTGAACAAGCCAAAGAATTAGTAATGTGGTTCTCCATAGCGGTGAACCTGATTATGTGGAGAGTTAGCCATCAATATAGTTATAATTCAATAGTTAAAACGGACCACTTTAATCGACTTTCAGGACGCCTTCAAAGCGGATTTCTAAGGATTCTTCTTCCGTCTTAGCAGACAAGTCCGAGAGAAGGCCGATCGCAGCCTCGTCTGCAACTTCTTGGAGTTGTTGTGACACAACTGAGTGGCTTTCCACAGCAGGTTGTTCGGAACAAAATTGCATCAAGTTCCTATCCTTTACAAGAACTAAAATGCGGTACAATAAAAGCCCCACAATAATTACTGCACCACTCGCAAAGAATGTCCTCAAAGAAGCCAAACACATGACAAGAACAAGCAACAATGCAGGAGGCACACAAAGCATGATTGCCCCAAATGTTTGGAAGGGCACTTTGTAAGGTCTGTGAAGGTCTGGCTTCTTGATTCTCAGTTTTATAAAAGCTGCAAACTCGAGTAGCATTCCAATGGAGTATAAGAAGTTCAGAAATTCCAATATCTCTTGAAAACTCATCCAAGATAGGAAGATGACTCCGGTAGCGGAAAGCAAAATGCTAATGGTGGGCGTCCCGTGCTTCGACCTATGAAATTGATTTAAATACGCCAAACTGCAAGTGTTGGTATCATATTTGGAGCTTTCCCATACATAACAAGTTTGATGGTTTTTTTTTGGTAACTTTCTTTTTAATAAAACAAAGTGAAATGAACGGCTTGAAAAAAGGCCCTTATAGAGCTTTCAAGCCTTTTAAGTACTCAAATTTCATATAATCTTCTGAACTGCATAGCTAAGACAATTAGACCAATATCAGAATTCGGTTTTGTTCAACCTTAAAATGAGAATTCGGTTTTGTCAATAATATCTGATTTTTGTTTTCCTTGAAATTCCTCCCATTTAGATTATCATTTCCACAACTCATTTAAGGAAACAAACAAAGGGTTTATGTAATTGAATAACTATGAAAACAAAACCAGGCAGGATAAAAAGTTACCTTGAAGCAAAGATAGCAGGAAGCATTCCCATCTCACTCATCCCGAGAAGCTGAAAAGCATCACCACTCATTTCTGCTTCAAACAACCCCATGTTTGACATTGCAGCCGCCACCTGAATCCACCACTTGAGCCAAGAGCCACCAATTAACAGTCCAACTTCCGCAAAGTACCCATCACTCCATGCACCATAATTGGCTCCAAGAGCTCCTGTCCCAGCAAGAAGCGGGACCAAATACGAAGAAACCACCAAGACCACAGCCCCAAAAAGCGCCATGGGGAACGTTTTACTCGGATTTTCAACCTCCCCTGCAAGAGTACTTGCCTTATCCCAATAGTTCAGATTCCAAAACATGGTATTGAAGTACCCTCTCCAGTCCACCTTCTTGAAGTCCACCACAAGCCAATGCTTAGGACTAATTCTAGGAATCGAAAGAACACCCATCACAACAAAGGGGAAAAGCGAGAAGACGGCAAGAGCAACAGCCGAAAACCCGACAACATGCAGACCTCGGTAGTTCAAGTAAGTCAATGAAACTGTAAGCCCCAAAAGAGCTGGAATTCGAGCTACTAATCGATTGAAGATCGGTATCGAGTGCTTAAGATAATCAAGGAACAAAACAGGATAAAGGGCATTATCCATAACCCCACTAAACCATTTCCAAAACCCTTCTTGGAACCCCCAGAATGGCCCAAATGCTGTTGATATCCAAAGCACATACCCTCCATTTTCGGGGAAGCTTGTGGCTAGTTCTGCTGTTACCAAAGCTTCAGGGATGCTCCAAATGAAAGGAAATATCAAGAAACCAAGCAAAGACAAAAGAGGTCCACCACCGGCCTTTACTGAATCCTCAACTCCAAAAGGACCCCCAGAAACATCATAGAATATCAAAGCAATAAGAGGAAGAAGAGTAAGTTTTGGTGTTTTCTTGATAACAGCAATATTCTCGCCATTACTTGTCATTCCCTATTCACCAATCCACAGGAAAAGGAGAAACTAAATAGATGATTGGAAGCAAAATTTGATGTCACAAGCAGTTCAACGAATTTACTGAAATGGCCTTTGCCTAAATTGTTGAAAAACAAAAAACAGTTGCCAAAACTGGAAGATTCAGTTGTGAGAGGAGATAGTAATAATACCTGTTTTGGAGGATTTACCAAAATGAGAACTCTTGAGATCTTTAGTTAAATTGTGGGATTCAATGTTTTGGAGCTGTTGTAAAACACAGTTTGAATCCCAAACATCTTGGGAAGTTTGCCAAATCCAGATCTTTTTTTGGGAGTGGTGGAGAAGCTCATCTCTTGAACAAGGAGAAGTCAAAGGTTTGACATTTGGCTTACACGTTATGCCCAACCATAGAGATTGCACGTATTATCACGTGGACGAATGGCAAGACTACGGAGATTGGCGGACACTTGAGCATTTTTGGGTTTTTTTTTTTTTTGATAATTAGCATTATTGGCTATTGCTCCGTGGGTTTTGAGTGCGAAATAATTGAAGAATCCCATGTAACATCATCAATGTCCCCATTTTATTTTTGTATCTTTTTTTTTTTTTTTTTTTGTGAATCTCATTTTTTTGCTAATCTCATTTTTTGCTATTAATTACTTATTATTCCGTGGCCATTTTGTTGTACTTGCCTACTTGGCGAAATAACATATATTTCTCTTTTTGAAAAATAATAAACATAAAAGTGACTTGATGAGAAAATTTTATTAGTCAATAATATTTCAAAAAAAATTTCGGGACAATCTATGTTAAACCGTCCAACTGTAGGATCAATTTTTTAATTATTAGATCTTATAAAATCAAATAAGATTGAAAAAATATACATAATAGACAGTTTATGATGCAGATCTAACAGCTAAAAATGACTAAAAAAATGAAACTACTGATAATTTTATTTTTCTGGTCTTACGGAAAAAACTCCCAATTTTTATTTATAAGATGTCCATAACATAAAAATTGACAATAATAAAATTTTATTAGTAGATAATACTTAAAAATATTTTACTTTATAAAATGATTATAGAACAATTAGAAACAATTTTTTTTACTATGAATGATGTTCTTTGTAAAAGAAATAAAAATAAAATTTGTTAACAATTTCATTTCTTTTAATAGACATTCTAACTTCATAAAAAAAAAAAAGACATTCTAACAAAATTCTCAACTTTAAAAAGAAAAAAATAAGAAAGCGCCTTAACACCGGTTATATTAGATATGGCAATGGAGCAGAATAAGGGTGGATGATGATTTTTCATCCCCATCCCCACCCGTAAACTATCTTTATTTCCATCCCTATTCCCACTTAAAGAGGAGCGGGTCGAAGTCGGGAGTTCTCCATTAGAAGGACCTTCTTTATACCTGCTTAATTTTTCATAATATAAGACTATACATTTTAAAATTATAGCAACTCAAAATAAAAATAAAGTGAAAATTCATTATCAATTTAAGCCAAAATCAAAAGTTCAATATTAAAAATCAAATTCTTAACCTATTGCAAAACTGAATCTAAAAGTAATAAGTAACGCATAAGCAAAAAAAGTTTAAAAACATCAAAACATTAATCGTAAATTGTGCTTTATTGTCTATTGGTAATAGCTTTAATAGTGAATGAGGAGGGACTAGAAAGTGCACTCATATGCGTAAATATAATAGGAGAAGATTGGTAATTGTCCTTTTTTTTTTTGTACGAGAAACTATAATTGATAGTTTTTCTTCCCTAATTAAAAATATGTGGTTACTTTTTTTAAGATAAAAGTAATTTTAAAAGATTATGTGTATATATATAGACATAAAAAATAACACATTAAGATCGAGGCGGAGGCAGGGTGGGGAGTACTTCCTCATTCCTGCCCTACCACGAATGGAGAACTAGATTTTGTCATCGTCCCATCCCTGATAATTGTCCGCCATCCTGGCCCCGAACATCCATGTGGGGGTTATTGCCATCTCTAAGTCACATACTCCTATATAATTTATGTTCACGAGTTTCTCTAAGAGGACTAGAAAAAAATAAATTATTAGTAGTTCTTTATTTTCAGTCGTTAGATCTATATAAAAAACTATTTGTACTGTATATTTTTTCAATCTCATGTGATTTTGACTTAATTTAATGGCCAAGAAGTGACACTACCGGTAAGACTGACCTACTATACCCTTTATTTTATATAAGGATTATTATCATTGGTCGCCCATGATCTTTAGAGTCATTCTCAGTTTGCCCTTGAACTTTTGAAACTCTCACTTTGCTTTCTAAACTTTGAATTGTTCCCACTTAACCTTTTATATTGTAATTTCTATTAAAAACAGTTAGAAAAAATATATAATAACGCAGTCACGTAGCATTTCTGTTTGAATTTATGTTAAAAAGAAACAGATAAAAACTGCATGACCACGCTTAATTCTTATTTTTCCGTTTGATTTTAATAGAAATTCTTATAATATGGCTTAATTGAGATAAATTTAAAGTTTAAGATGTAAAATAAAAACTTTTAAAGTTGGAGAGCAAATTAAAAATGACTCTAAAATTTAAGTACAATAGTGATAATAATTCTTTTGTGTAAATTTGTGAAATTTACTGTTCAAGCAAAAAAAAAAAACAGAGAAATTTAGGGGTTGTTCTTTTGGAGTGTAACTTGAGTGTAGTTTTTGAGTTATAACTTGAGTTGAAGTTGTAACTTGAATAAAGTTAAATAAAGTTGAATAAAGTTAAAATTTAAAAGAACGTAAACTTAAATAAAATTAAAACTCGAGTTGTCTTTTTTTGAATTTTTTAGACAAAAGAACATGCCTTTACCAACCTTTTTATTAGCGAGAGAGAGATATAATCGGCAGTCGGTTTACCGACAGTGAACCGCTTTGGTTTTCTCGAATACACTCGCGAAGATCACCCTCTTTTCCTGCGCCTATCCTCTCTCTCGGCGAGAATGCCCGAGAATCCATTGCAGCTTATACTACATTCTTTCGAGAAAGTTTCCAACTTCATCCAAATTCACCTCTCCAGTTTAACTCTCCAACTCCAACCTCATAACCAATCGCCCACCGTTAAACAACAACCAATCTCCTCTATCTCTCACTCTTCCAAGCTCAACCCATCCACCAGAAACTCCTCTGCTTTCCAGTCCCACGATGTGAAGGTAATTTTTCGCTTATTTGGTGCATTCTGTTTACTCTATATAACTATTCTGAACTTGGATTTTGACCTTTTCATTTCTGTATATGACTAATTCACAAGTTTGATTCTTGCTGTTGTGTCTTTTAAGTTGCTTAGTTTAGTAGTTCACCAACTGTTTGATATAAGTCCTGAATGAAAGTCTTTTGCTTTTCATTAAGCGAATTGAGTTATTTTTGGGTGTTTCTTGTTTTGTTTACTTCATAATAAGTTTTCTGTAATTAGTCTCGCTTGTGGAGCTATATTAAGAGTTAAATTTGTCTGTTTATTTGACAATTGGTTAAGGGAACTTTATGATTTGTGATAGTAGAAACCTAATGATGGTAATTTGTTCAGGGAAAAACTGCAGGTCCGGTGTCGAAAGAAGAGCTTGGTAGGGCTTCATGGACATTTCTTCACACTCTTGCTGCCAGGGTATTTCTTCACACTCTTAACATGCATGGTCATGTTCCTTCTTACATGTCAACTTTATTTTGCCAAATTTTATTGTTCCACAGTCATTCTTTCTGCTTCTATCACATTACATACGACTTTTTTTCCCCCCTATTTCTTTTGCCTTTTCCATTGACTTATGGAACACTTCGCTTCAAAATGGTGCCTTGAAAATCACGTCAACACTCATGCTACATATTCTATTTATTGAATGGCTGTATTTCTTAGACTTTGATTATTTTATTTGGTTTTAATTTGTCTATTCAGTACCCAGATAAACCAACAAGGCAACAGAAGAAAGATGTTAAAGAATTGGTAATACATTTTCCCACTTTATCGCTCCAACTGTCTATTATTCTTGAATAAGATGTTTAGATTTATTTATTATGATGGGATACAGATGTCAATACTATCACGCATGTACCCTTGTAAAGAATGTGCAGAACACTTCAAACTAATTTTGAGGTATCCTATTTCTTCTTCAATCACTCCCTTCAGATATGGATCATGCTACTATGCTAGGTTAAAATTGTTTGTATATGCTTTTTATTTGTTTGTGTATAATGTGTGTGTATTTTGTTTTGTTTTCGTGACAAGTCATATCGTTTCAAAAATCTATGGGTCCGTTTGGTAACGTTTTCAAAATGATTTTGTTTTCAGTACAAAAGTAAAAATGAGATTGTTTTGAGAATCATTCTAGGTCCGATTCTGAAATTGCGTTTGATTGATTTTTTAAGACATTGTTTCGAGTATAATAAAAAAGTGAAATCGTGTTTGGTTATAATTATTAATTAATATATTATAACATTGTTGATAAGTACTAAAAAATGAAAACAGAAAAGGAAAAATAACTTTCAACCGTTTTCTAATTCATTCACAAAAATCATTCTCACTGGGCCTGTTTGTTTATGTTTTCATTTTCATTTTTCACGTTTTTCAAGACTAAAAAATGAAAATGCAAACTGAAAATGTGTTTGGCTTAAAAGTTTTTGAAAAACAAAAACAAAAATGTTTGTCTTTTCTGAAAAAGTGAAAATGAAAAAAACCTGTTTTCATTTTCACGTTTTCAGTTCTGAAAACGGATCTTTTTTTTTTTTTTCTTCTTCTCTTTCTTCTCCACCCC